GCAAGCGGCTCTCTCCGTGCTTTGGTAGATTCTGGCGCGTCGAAGAACTTTGTTCGACTGCGAAGTCTATCAAGGCTTGACTTCGAGGATTTAAAGATACCTCGAAGTATGTTGGAAGTACGACTGGCAACGGGTGCCGTCGTGAAGACCGAGAAGCGCATGGTACGCGTGCGCTTCACGTATGAAGATCAAGAGTTTGTCGAGACCTTTATCGTCCTGGATCTGGACGATAAGTTTGACATTGTATTGGGCATGCCGTGGCTTGCACGGCATGATCCGGTCATCGATTGGGAGAAGCGCACGAGAGTGCGCTTCGGTCGCGACAGCGGAACAGTGAGCGATGGCCCTGTTGCCGCTACGCACGCACCGACAGGTGCGCGCGACTCCCCACTCGAGACAGCGCCCAATGCCGCTGTCCCGGAGCGCCCTGGGCGCGCGCGAGCACGCGCGCAAGAGCAGCTAGCGTCGGCGTTGCCGCCGACAGCTAATGAAGGAAATGTGTTGACCTCGGAGGTCGACACCCGCTTTTCAGCGAATCAGGAAGAGTCTCCGGCCTGAAGGGGCACGGATGACGCAGGCGAGTCACACTCCTCAGCCGTGGAGGCTGACGCGAATCTGATTGGATCAGGTCTGGCCAATAATTAGAGCCAAGGTGACGTAACGTCGTCGACTCCAGGAGTCGATGGCTTGGGCGAATTTGATTCGTCGGCTCGGGGAGCCGACGCACCCTCCGTAATGGGGGTCTCCGCCAATGGTTGGCGTCGAGGTATTGAAGTCGCATCGACTCCGGGAGTCGATAGCATGGACAAATTTGATTCGTCGGCTCGGGGAGCCGACGCACCCTCCGTAATGGAGGACTCCGCCAATAACAGGCGTCGAGGTGAAGATGGCGTGTCGGCTCCGGGAGCCGACGCTGCAGGCGGTGCGGACGGTTGCAAACGTTCCGCACCGGAAAAACTTGCATGCTGTCGTGCAGCCGGGCTGTACGACGAAGCGCCGGGCGACCAAGCCGGGCTTGAAGTCGCTCGCCCGCGGGATGAACCCGCCGGCGGTACTAAAGAAGAACACCCGCCCACGGCTGGGCCTGGACGAGGTCAAGAACGAAGCGGAGCCGGGCTCCGCAAAACAAGAAGACGGCGCATGCGAAGATCGCTGCGCAAGTCTCGGCCTGGGGCCGAGACGCTACAAGGAATGTCTGCCGGGCAGACGGAGGCTGAGAAGCCGGACGTCGAGACGTTGAACGTCTTGACGCGTACCTGTGCCGGGTTCCGGTACAGGGAGATGACTCTCGCTAACCCTCCGACGCAAGCGTCGGAGTTGACTTCGCTTCCAGTCATGAGCTGGAAGCGCTTCGCGCGTGACTTGCACGATGGACGCATCGAGCAAATATGCATTCTCTCGGACGCCGAGAGAACGAAGAGCGAGAATGAAGAACTGAGGCAGTTCTTCATGGAGACCACCACTGAGAGCGAGGACACTCTCAGTGCGAAGACGAAGAAGGAGCGCTTTGAAGAGCAGAGCTGGGACTCGTTGAAAACGAGTCCCTACTACGAGATCTTACGGGAGTACGCGGACGTACTTCCGGAAGAGATTCCTGCGGAGCTTCCGCAGGACAAGGGAATCCAGCACGAGATTGATCTCGTGCCGGGCACGAAGTACTGTGTCACGCGGTAGTGGCCACTGCCGCGAGAGCAGGTCAAAGCGATCGACGACTTCTTCGAAAGTCGTCGCAAAGCTGGACAAGTGCGGGAATCGAAATCCCCGCACAGGGCGGCTGGAGCATCGTTCATGCGTATAACAAGCTGAACGATGCGACGATACCGGCGCAGACGCCGATACCTCGAAAAGATGTTATCATCGATTCGATGGCCAGGAGCACTATCTACAGTGCTCTTGATCTGCGCGATGGGTTCTATCAGATCCTAATGCGTGAGAGCGATATCCCTCTCACGGCTATGAGCACGCCGAGCGGCATGCTCTGGGAGTGGCTAGTGATGCCGCAGGGTCTGAAGAACGCCCCTGCGACCTTCAACAGGTGCGTGACGCACTTGTTGCGCTCGGTGCGCGACTTCGCACCGAGCTACTTCGACGATGTGTTCGTCCACAGCCGGGCTGCGGACGGGATGAGCGATGTTGAGATGCACAAGGTCCATCTCCGGAAGCTGCTTGCGCTCATACGCAAGCACAAGCTCTATGCGAACCTGAAGAAGTGCATCTTCGGGGCGAGCGAGATACCCGTGCTCGGGTGGCTCGTTGGGAAGAACGGTGTCCGTCCTGACCCTGAGAAGGTCAGAGTGATCAATGAGTGGCCGACGCCGTCGAACGTCAAGGAACTTCGGCAGTTCCTTGGCTTGGCCACGTACTTGTGCAAGTACGTGAAGGACTACGCGGGCTTGATACGCCCGCTGTCACAGCTCCTGAAGAAGGACGCCGAGTGGGTTTGGACTGCTGAGTGTCAGTAGGCCTTCGATGCAGTCAAGCGGGACTTGACTGAGGCGCCGATCTTGGCGGTGGCCAACCCAGATCGCCCGTTCCACGTTGTGTGTGACGCATCCGACTTCGCAATCGGATGTGCGTTGATGCAGCACGATCACGAGGGTCGTGATCGTGTCGTCTACTACCAATCGCGTCAGCTGAAGCCAGCTGAGCGCAACTACCCGGTACATGACAAGGAGCTCCTTGCCATGAAGTACGCACTCGCGAAGTTCGGAGTGTATCTACTCGGAAGCAAACCGTTCGTGGTCTATACGGACCACGCGTCGTTGCGGACGGCTGTGAAGTCGCCGCACATCTCGCAACGGATGGCGAGATGGCTCTCATTCTTCGCAGAGTATAACTTCCGGGTTGAGTACAAACCCGGAAGACTCAATGTGGTGGCCGACGCGCTCTCGCATCGACCTGACTACGCCACGACTGATGCCGACGTCAATGCCATTGACGCCATGCGATCGAGCACCCCGACGTCATCACTGTTGGACGACGTGAAGGTCGCGTTCGCGCACGACGAGGACGCGAAGCTCTTGCTGGCCTACGGCTCAGCGCCTTCTGACCAAGCTCGTCAGAAGCTGCCGAAGCATCTTCGTGCTCGTGCACACCGTTATCGGGTGCACGACGGGTTGTTACTCTACAGTGCAGTCGACGACAACGCGGACCGCGTTGTCGTGCCCAATGACCATGACCTGCGACTCAGGATCATGTACGAGTATCACGATGTACCGACTGCGGGGCATCCGGGCCGTGAGAAGACGTACCTTCTTCTCACGCGAGACTTCTACTGGGCCCACCAGTACAAATGGGTGCGCAAGTACGTCCGTGCTTGCGAGGTTTGTCAACGTGTGAAGCCTGCGCCTTTCGCGCAGGCTCCCTTGCAGTCACTACCAACTCCACGGGAGTGTTGGCAGTCCATGTCTTTGGACTTCGTGTTCGGTCTTCCCCCGGACAGCCAGGGGAACACGGGCGTTGTGGTCTTTGTTGACCGCTTCAGCAAGATGGTACATCTTGCTGCGGTACCCGCTGAAGTGACTGCGAAGCAGACGGCGCGTCTGTTCGTTGACATGGTGTTTAAACGCCATGGCATGCCGATCGACATTGTGTCGGATCGAGTCCCGCGCTTCAGTGCACACCTTTGGCAAGAAGTGTTTACACTTCTTGGGAGTCAACTTTCGATGTCGACTGCGGATCATCCGCAGACGGACGGGCAGACCGAGCGCGTGAACCGCGTGCTCGTAGACGTGCTTAAGAGCTACGCTTACTCGTTCCAACACTGGAGCGAGTGCCTGCCGATGGCAGAGTTCGCCACCAACAACTCGGTGCATGCCTCGACCGGGTATACACCGTTCTACGTGAATGCCATCAGGCACCCACGCCTCCCGAGTCTACTCGGGATGGTGGCTCCTTCCTTAAGTGGGGGAGGATCTACGACTGCAACGCAGCAGTCGCAGAATGCCGCTAACACTTGCACAGTGCCAGCCGCGACTACGCGCAACAAGAAGAAGAAGCACGCGTCTGTGCAGGGCACAGACGTCGACAAGAGCAAGAAGAAGAAGAAGAACGGGTCTGTGCAGGGCACAGACACCGCGAAGACGAACGCAGAGGCCGGGCCTACTGCTAGAAACGAGCTGAACGAGTTCAGCTCGGACGCAATCAAATTCGTGCAGCGCAGACAAGCCGTCATTCGGTTTGTCCAAGACGCTATCGCAGCTTCTGTCGACCGACAGAAGCTGAACGCAGACAATGTTGGTAGGGGCAACACTAATGAATTCAAGAAGGGTTCATTGGTTTTGTTAGCAACTCAAAACCTGCCTAAACATGCAGTTTCCGACTTCGGGGCGAGCAAGCTCGCTCCGCGCTTCATTGGGCCGTTCACGGTGTTGGCACGGCATGGCAACGCCTACACGCTAGATATTCCATCTAGCATGCGCCTCCATCCGACCTTTTACGTCGGGCGGCTTAAGCCATACCTGCCGCACGAGCCACCTAGCTCGGCTGGCCCGAAGCGGAAGCCCCAGCGGGAGCGAACCTCTGCTCCAGCGCGTAAACGCGCTGGGCCAAGCGTGCGACGCAACCTCCCACGACGACAGAGATGTCCGACGCGGTCTGCGAGGCCTGAGCGACTTGAGCCCTCAGGATCGCCACCGCCTGCATCAGAGCGGCGAACTCCCGGATCTGATGCTGTTCCACAGCAGCGACCCGCTCCTCGAGCGTCGGGCCAAGGTCAACCCCTGGTTGACCATACCCGGGGCGTGTTCCCACCACCGCCGCCTCCGATCCGCGACGCCTGCGGCTCAACACGCTGGATTGTTGAGCGTATTGTGAACCATAGTATCCCGAAAACGAACCGGCAGCCGGTTCGTTATCGTATTCGTTGGAGAGGGTTTCCGCCCCACCAAGATACATGGGAGCCACGGGACGTCCTCCTGCAGGACGTTCCGGAAATGGTGAGGGCATACGAAGCTCACCACACACTGCCGACACGAAGGTAGTGCGAGCGCTGTGGTCCCCTACTCGCCCGAGGTCCCACGATCGTCGCGTTCCTCGCGTGCCAAGAACTTGGCACGGAGATCCTTGAGACTCTCAGGTACACGAATCGTCGTGTACCGGTTTAGGTCGCGGTCGCTCAAGCGCACCGCACCCGGAAGACACAACGTGCACTGATGGCCTTCGGGCACAGCGCACGGAATACCAGCGTCCACAGAGGATCTGTGGAGCTGCTCCAGCCTCCCGCGCGTCGAGAATGTCTCGAAGCGCTCACGGGCATGCTTAACCCGCTCACGGTAAGCAGCCGGCTTCTTCTTGAAGTTCTCAACAAAAGCATTCCAACTTTGACAAAGTGCCTGCCACTTAGGCACTTTGCTGCGAGAAGAGGTCTTCTTGCTGGAGAAGTATCGGAGCTCGTGAAAGAGTCCGATATAGTAATCGCGCCTTTGATTCGTTAACGGATCAAAGTGCTACTCCTCCGCCACAGCATCATCGTGGATCCCGCTGCATACGTACAGCGGAATTTCATTTGGAGGCACGGTGTTGCCCACACGGTCTGCGATCTCTGACGCAGACGGCGTCCACGGATCGCGCGCTGCCTGAGCAGCGCGCGGAAAACTTGAAGACGACACCTCACGCGGGGAGCTTAAAGCCCCAGCAGCGGAGAGCGGAGTTTCGCTCTCGCCGCGCGAACGCTTCGAGCTCGAAGCGTCCGAGTCGTCTCCTTCACGAGGGCGTCTCGACCCGGCATGCGGGTCGAGACTATCACTGTCGATAGACTCCTTGCGCTTGTTGGAAGAGGCCTCGCCCTCTTCCATCTCTTCGTCGTCACTCCCATAGTCAACGGCGTCGTTGACTACAGAGGAACCTTCGAGAACAATCTCCGACTGAGTTGTCCCCGACGCGGCCTTTGCAGCGAGCGCGTCGCGCTTTGCCTGCTGGCGCTCATGGTATTGAGCAACAGAGAGGTTACCCTCTGTTGCGGCGGCGGTCTTCTTCTGCGGCGAGCTCATTGCGGAATGAGCTCGAGTTTTCTTTCTCCCAACGTGAAGAATTGACGAATGGTCAATTTCCTGATTGACGTGCCGTGACTCGGCGCGTCTAACCTTGAGGGGGGGATGGTGTAACAGGGTAACACGCACAAGTGGCTACAGTCACTTGTAACTCTAACAGATACGACGTCTGTTAGAGGTTCGAAAGACTTTCTCGACCTTGGTGTAGAAACACCAAAGGCTACATACATTTACGACCACCACGACGGGTGGTCCATAGAGACTTTGGATTCCTATTGGCTAAGAGCAGCATCTCTTACTTAGCCAATGAGCGACATGCATAGCATTGGAATTTTGCCAACCAGCCGTTGGCAGATTCCTATCTTAGAATATTACATTTAGAGGAAGTCAGAAACATAAAACAAAAATAGCAGTTATCATTTTAACCCAAAAACATTATTTGGATCGTTTATTTAGATTAATCTATACTCGGTGGCCCGAGTATAATTAACTCTAATTTAAACTAAGCTACGCTTCCTCACATACACGCGCACACGTGTAAGCTAAAGTAGTGAGCCAAAGTAGGCCCACTACACCCTCCACCAAAGGATGGACGACGGCGCACGGAGCGCTTTTACAGGTCGCCGAGAGCAAAGGCTTCTCGACTCAGCAATCAGTGCCCGGGACGTACGGGAACACCGGCTCGCAGCGGTGGCGAGACTTTTCCTTCGCGCTTGGCGAGACTCGCGCCCAACCCGGGCCGACCTTAATCTCTTGGCGCTGCCAGCCGAGTACCCTACAAGCTATGCCTCTCGGGTACCGGCAGCAGACATTATCCGGCCCCGTGCAGGGACTTACCGGAACGTGTACACGTGCTTTAGGCCTAGAAAATTCTGCTCTGTTGTTTGTTATCTCTGTCGGGCGCCCTGAAGGGGCACCTCCACTATTCCTAAGCTCCTATACAAATACCAAATGAAAGTGGGCGGTTATGGATCTCGGCCGACTCTTCGCTGAGCTCGGCGACGCTTGAGCTCGGCTGGTCCAGATGAGCTATCCGGACAATTCTTCGAACTCGGCTGAGCCGGATAAGGTGTCCGGATAAGTTGGTGAACTCGGCTGAGCTCGGCTGAGCTCGGCTACCGGTACAGTGTACCACTCCAGCCGAGTTGGTCGCGCGAAATCTGGTGTTCCTAACCCACAGGATCATTTTTTGACACGCGCTTTCTGAAAAACCGATTCGGGGGGTCCACATCGTCATCATCCACGTCACTTTCCTCTGCATTGCTTGGCTCATACGCGCTATCTTCATCATCTGCCGCATTACCAGCCGGTTGCTCTTTTCCGCTGGTTGCGTGTGGCTTTGAATTTGTCGTGGCGGATCGCTGCTTTCCTTCGAGCAACCGGGGGCGTTTGCGAGAGGTAATAGTGGTAGGTTTTGCTTGAGCCGAGGGTGATATCTGAGCATCGTTGCTGCTATTAGCTGCGCCCTCAGCAACCGATCCATTGAGTCTCTCGACAGACGCCCCTGCCTGATACACCGTAGTTGATGTAGCCGACGCATCACTTGACACAGCAGGCGAGCCTGGACTAGCTTGCAAAGTTCGCACCGAGGGTACTTTTCCTAGCCAATATAACTCCTGCAAGTTATTGGTGCTGCTGGTCGTGTAGTTTTCCCTGCCCTCGTGCATGGCCTTGAAGTCTGGGTTAACTTGAATGGTATCACGCACGTAGTTGCTCAGTGCTGAGTTAGCGGCAGCTGCGCTAGTCTGCGTTTCATGAAGCGCGCCATCCGCCTCTTCATCAAAGTGCATAGTCAGCTGTGTTCGTGCAGCTTGCATATACGCTGTCACGTCACGGATGATTCCCACAACACGAGCTCTTGAATCGGGGGATAAACTTGCTGCAATTTGGGCGCCCATACATTCTACTACTGCCACCGAACGTGACGCAACTCGGCTAACGTCGTTCGCTCGGACTGCGTGCGCAAGCGCTGTCACTTCGGCCACGAACGCAGCCCGCAGCAACTCGTCCTGGTAGCTCTTAAACTCATCAACTTGTTCTCGACACTGAGTGTCGACGGGTGCGCGTGTCGTAGCTGGTGCTACCGGAGCCTCTTCCTGCAGTACCACAGGCGTAGCGATGTCGGCTCGCACCATTCGAGGATAGCGCCGGAGATCCTGCCGGCCATCCGCGAAGCCCAGCGGGTTGTCGTCCAGCGAAAAGGTAGCGTCAGGGTTCTTCTGTACGTAATCCTGCCGAATCTCCGCTGTCTCCCCCTCCCAGCGCTTCTTCAGAGCCCTTCCAGCCCGCGTTCGCAGCCAATTCGTGGCCGCCTTGTTGGCACCTGGCTCCGCTTGAGAGGCTTGTTCATGCGCGAAGCGTGCAGCGCTGTCCGAGATGTCGGTGACTTTGTCGCCTGCGTAGGCCCAGAAGCCTCTGTGGCAGCGCATGTTGTTTCTTGAGCGACGAGGGAGGTTGAGGGAGACTTCTGAGACAATGAGCTGTGAAAGGACTTGCGCGTGCTACTGACCTATTATTGGCTAAAAAGGGGCAATGGCTGTTATTTGCCTGGGGTCTTCGACTGGATACCTATCGACAAGAGACCGGGTCCCGGACTCACTCTGCGGAAGGGTAGATAACCCATCATTATTTCATTTATTTATTTACTTGACCACCGAGCTTCTATTCTGTCTTTCATTTACTTTACTACCGACAGCGTTCTGCGCTTGTTGGGTTGTTGGAGTCAGTCTTGACCTTCCAGCTACGGTGTCGAGCAGCTTGGAAGTGGCTACATCCGGCTGGTTTTACACTTATCGAGTAAGTACGAGAAACATCTTTAGTTTTGTATGGTTACTTATTTGCGCGAAGAAGGAAATTCCGGACGATTCCGGAAATAAGTTGGAACGGAATAAACCTAGCCCTAACCAACGATGATTGGATGTAAATAGGTCGATGAGCCTCAAATGGTAAGAAAAAAATCACGGGTGTCCGGCCAAATACTACTTATCCTACAGTATTTTAAAAAATACTGTACATTCGCTTCAACACAAATATTGTACACTTGGTTTCCGTATGATCATGCAAAGTCAGAGTGCGCAAGATGGCTACAGTTAAATTTGAATATCTCACCAAACCCTGATTTTCACAGTAAAAAATCAACGGATTGACTGCCTCCAGTCATTTTGCATCGCCAGACGCACCACCAAGCGACAAGTACTTATCTCGCTCTTCCGGCGTCTGCTCCACCGTTACCGAGAGCTTCTGCACGTCACCAGCAGCTCCAGACGCTAGCAATCCTCCCCATCCAAGTCCCACAGTCAGAAACCAAGTATGGCGCCCGCGAAGCGATTGAACCTGAGCAAGTCGCACGATGACGACGAGAGCTCCTCGGCCGCGTCCTCGGACGACGAACAGGAGCAGCAGACGCCGACGCAGTCAGCCGAGGAGGGAGAGGAGTCCAGCTCCGATGAGGAATCCGACGAGTACGTGGGCATCCGCGTGTTTCCCAGCGTCACTCATTATTTTCGACTTGCGTCACACAACACGTACTTACTTGACTTGACTTGGGATGCAGAGAGTTCGAGATCCCACCTGGCTTCGAGAGCGTCAAGGGCAGCGCGGCCGTCACCCGTGAAGCCGTGATCAACAACGAACAGGAGCTCTGGTTCTTTAAGCTGCCTAAGAACGTACGTTGGTCGTGGCAACCTTCTACATTGGTGGCAAGTGTGCGACTGACTGACGCCTTTCATACTGCAGCTCGACGCGTCGGTGCTCGCCAACGTGACGATCAAGGTGGATGAAGGCAAGGCGGCGGCGCCCGGCGAGGTGCTGGCTAAGGTCACGGCCGGAGAGGCCAACAAGAAGTTCCTGCTGCAGAGCGAGGACCGCATGCTGACGGACCAGCTCGTGAACGCGCTGCCGCTTGCTTCGGACCGCGCTCGCTTTGTGCTGGGCAAGCCGTTCTCGCGCTGCTTCTCGCTCGTGGAGGAGCGTCCGGACGCCTCGCCGGTACCACAGGAGAAGGCTGCCGAGCCGGACACCGCGTCGCCCGTCGTGGAGAAGCGCAAGAAGAAACACTCGTCCGACAAGCACGAGAAGCACCACAAGTCCAAGAAGGCTAAGCACAAGAAGTAAGCTTTTCGTCATGGAAGACATTAGCCCAGCACTCCATAGACCACCTGAAGAAATTCATCACCTATTTGTCATTTTGTTCTCCTCTCTCGGTCCGTCTCATGTCTCCAGCTGAGTTTCGACCTCACCAAAGAGATGGTATGTACCTGCAAACGAAGAGGTGGCCGGCCGGTCATCTAAAAGAGCAGAAGCGGTTCTGCTGGCGGCGCCTCCTGACGTTTTGAGCTCTTGTGCTCCTTGTCCTTCCTCTTCTTCTTTGTCTTCTCGACATCGCCACCATTCTTGCTCGAGCTGCTCTTCTTGCTCTTCTTCGTAGATGAGCTCCGGTGCTTGTGACGGCTTTCCTGAGGCGCTTCAACAGGCTCCTGCTCCTCGTCACTAAAGCCGCCGATTAGCAAGTCCTCTTGTTTCCGCGATGGCTTCTTGGACTTGGAGCTCTTGGACGACGACTCCTTCTTCTTTTTCTTCTTGCCGTCGTCCTCACCCCTGGAAGACTTCTTGTGCTTGGAACTCTTCTTCTTAGATTTCTTCTCGTCATCTGCTGGCTTTGAGGCAGGCGTCTGGCGATGGAACCACTGATCGGTGGGAACCTTCTCGTTCTCACCCAGAGGGATACTCAAGTCCACGGCAGCCAAATCGGTTTCCTGAATGATCACAATATGTGGATCAATTGATGAACCATTGTAGCACTATTTTGCGAATGGATACGTACATCTTCGCCCACTGATTCACGCTTCTTGCGAGTACGACGACGGTCTTCATCACTTGAGCGTGCGCCTTCGGGCATCAACTCGTCCTCAAGAATATCACGCGACTTCGACTTCTGTTAGTGGCAAAACGAAAGTTAGACGGTGAAAGGCCTGCATCAGCCTCTCAGACAACTCGACGCACCTTTGAAGCCTTCTTCTTCTTGCCGTTTGCTCCGGAGCCCAAGGCGCCCATCATATCCGCGAAACCCTATAAGCACACCAAACGCACAGGCATCAGCCAGCGTGTTCGGTGACAACGGCCTCGTAACACTCATCCTTACCGCGTTGGCTCCAGCATCAGTTGAAGTTTGCCCACCAGCAGACAGGTAGAAGGGGTCCTTGCGCAACCGCTCCTGCTCACGGGCGTACTCGCGCTCCTTCCTTTCTCTCTCGTCCGCAGAATTCTCCGACTCCGATTCGGATTCCGATTCTGAAGACGACGCGCCGTTTTGCCGGCGGTGGCGGTGGTGCTTGCTCCCAGGCTTCCGCTCTGGGGGATCGTCGCCAATGCCACTGTATCCCCCGCCGATACCTGCATGTCCCTGACTGACAAACGACACCTCAAGGTCATCCTCGCTCGAAAATGCTGACACGTCACCGCCCGACTCGAGGAACTTGGCCTCCGACTTGCTCAGAGGCTCGTCAAGGTCCAGATCACCTGGCAACGGAACCTTGCGCTGTGCCTTGACACCAACAGGGGCTAACCTCTCAGCGAAGTACGAGTCGAGCACGTCGAGGCGCTTTGCCGGATCCAGAGAGGCGCTGCCGTCGAACGCGCGCTCAGTGCGCTCTTGTGCTGTCAGGGCACCAAGGCCCATGCTCAGAGCGAGCAACAGCTGCTGCAGACACACAGCACGCTCCTGCACCTCGATGTATTCGCTCTGAACGAAAGCAGGAAGTCGCTCCATAATAACCGTAGCAATACGTTCCACCGTGGCATCATCCGCGCGTTCGGCCATAGCTGTGAGGATCTTGAGCAGCGCCTGAATAAACACAGTCTGTACATGTCCAGGCAGCGTCGTCGTGCGAGGCTGCAGCATCTCGTCCGAGAGATCTTCCAGACGTTGAAGTTTCTCCTCCTCGGTCTCACGTTCGTCGTCCTCGTCCTCTTCGTCCTCTTCATCGTCCACGTCGTCCAAGAACTCCATGACGTACTCGCCCGTGATCCACGCCGCCGCATAGTAAACTTCCTGAAGCGTCCCTGCTCCGGGGCCACTGAGCGCCTCCTTCTCCATTAGCAGCTCAATCATGTTGTCCACCATAACGCTACGCACACTCTTGACACGAACCGCGATATCCACAAGCTGGCGCGCCACCTCGACACCGTGCGAGCGCTTCGCAGGCTCGCCGTCCGTCGGCTTCATTTTGTGGTTACTGCTACTGCTAGAGCCCAGCATGCTGCCAGACGACGGGGCCAGCGAGGACAGTGAGGCGTCAACCGAAGCAGCAGTGTTGCCCGGCACGCGAGCGAGCTGCACCAGCACGTGGATGTACCAGTCGAAGTCGTGGATGTTGGCGTACTTGTTGACCGAACACACATGCAGAATGTGCGTGATGAGCTCGTGGCGGTACGCGCCGTCGGCGCTCAGCGTCTGACGCATCAGCTCGCGGATAATTGGCGCCGCATTGTCCGGGTTCACCATGCCGGACAGCAGCTCGAGGGCGCGCATGCGGATCGTGATATCGTCCACCGCCAGACACTCGACGATCAGCTCCTGGTGCTCCGTGACCACGTACGGGTGCGACTTCATGAGGTTGCCGAGGCCCACGAGACCTAGGTAGCGCAGGTTCTGGTCCGGGTCTTCAATATAGCGGCGCAGGTGGTCGTTACAGAGCCTCACGACGGCCGCCACGTTGCGCGGCTGCGAGCCGTCGCTCTTCTTGGTGTACAGCAGCGCCGTGGTGACCGTGCTGATGCACTCGTAGAGCAGCGACTTGGCCGGCGTGTTCTGAATCACGGTCGCGAGGGGGTCCAGCAGCTTGCGCGCGAGGCGCGGCTCCTCGGGCACGAGGCTGGCCAACAACTTGACCACCTTGATGAGCATCCAGTTGTTGGAGGACGTGGTGAGCAGGCGGAAGAACTGCGGGGCCAGCCCCAGGTAGTTCTTGGGCTTCTTGTTGGCCAGCTCGCAGATGACGTTGACCGCGCACGACACGACCGTGACGTCGGGCTCCTCCATGCGCTCCTTGAGGCGGTCGAAGGATAGCCGCAGGCCCTGCGGGTAGCGCAGGAACATCTTGTACAGCACGAGCGTGGCCTTCTTGCGCACGTACGGCTTGGGCGAGCCCATCATGGCCAGCACGTCGCCCAGCAGGTCGCGCGCAAGGTCCGTGGTCACGATGTTGGCCATCACGTTGATGGCCAGCCCCACCTCGTACTCGCTCGTGCTGCCGAACTCCTTCTTGAGCAGGTTGGTGCACAGCAGCACCACGTCCGTGGACTGCGTGAAGCTCTGGCAGGCCGCGTTGTAGCCGATGCGCTTGTGCGCGAAGCGCTCGTAGCTCATGACCTCCACCACGTGGAACGCGGCCCAGCACATGTCGTAGCCCAGCATGTGCAGGTACGTGAGCTTGCGCACGGCCTGCGCCTTGACGAACGGGTCGGTGCTGCGCAGCTCGGCCTTGATCTCCTGCAGCGCCTGCGAGATGTACACGCTCACGTCGCCCTTGGCCGAGCGGATGCCCTTCACCAGGTCCTGCAGGTTCTTCTCGAACATGGCGGTGGCGAGCTGAGCGAAGCGGGCAAGGCAGGCGAGCTAGGCGGACGATGGAGTGCCTCCCGACGGATCAAGACGATGCGAATCAAGAGCTAAAGTCGGATCGCTGCTGGGGGGGGACGACATGGCTCGACCCGGGTCGACAGAATTTGACTCGGGATTTGTATGCAAACGGGTTTCGACCCGCAAAATCTTTTGCGAGATACCACGCATGCCATTGACGGTCATGCGGGTCTTAACGCTAGCTGCCCGCGGGTGAGGCTTTCAAGGAATGCTGTGGACGGAAACTATATGAATGGAGACAGCTAGTGGATGTGGCAGCGGTGTAGTATGCAACGATACAGTATAATGGATGCAACGCCATTGGGGGTCCACATGAAAGAACTCTTGTGTTGTATTCATCTGGGGGCTTGTTTAGACGGTTAATAGGCAGCTCTTAGCCCATGACCAACTCGAGCAGAATCATCAGCGTGTTGATGATCATGAGCGGGACTGCATCAAAACACAACAACGTCAGCACTTCTCCAATCCGCCAGATATCGACCTCCAAGCGTACGTACAGCGTAGATACTGCACGGCGATGAGGAAGCCCACGATCTGGTTCTTGATGGTCATGCCCTGCGACGAGTCCACCTTGTGCCAGCCATCTGCAGCACAAATAGCCATACAACCACCACATCAACTCGTCAGAACCTGCCAACTCCTACACTAAGCACTTCACCCCCACAATCAATCGCAGCACGTACGCGGACGCAGGAACCGCTTCTCGTGCAGGATGCACACGGCGTTCGTGAGCAGCAGGCTCGTCAGCACGAAGTTCCACAGCACGCCCATCGTCCCTCACAGGCTCAGGCTCTGGATCCTGCCGCTACTGTGGACGACGAAACGTGGCAAAATGTGTGATCGTACTTATGGGGGGATATAGGACATACCCAAGGGAACGACGTCACTTTGGAATCGGACACACAGGCGAAGAGACCGACGACGACGACGATGGGCGACCGCGGCAACGTGTACTACGCGCCCACGGGCGAGACGACCGAGTGGGAGGACATCCTGATCAAGAAGGGCATCCTCGCGCCCAAGACCAAGGTGCCCGACGAGGAGGACCACGAGGAGGAAGAGCAGGTGGACCCGCGCGAGAACGCCACGCTGGACGAGCTGGACGAGCTCGAGGACGACTACGACGACGACGCTGAGCTGGCGCGCATCCGCGAGCGCCGCATCCAGCAGATGATGGCGCAGGCCGCGCGCAACAAGTTCGGCGACGTGCAGCCCATCGCCAAGGACGAGTGGACCAAGGAGGTGACGGAGGGCAGCAACGACCACTGGGTCATCGCCTACCTCTGGGACGAGGCCCTCGAGGAGTGCAAGGTCATGGACCACGTGTTGCGCGAGGTAGCCAAGAAGCACCGCGACGTCAAGTTCGTGAGCATCCAGGCGCAGGCCTGCATCGAGAACTGGCCGGCCCGGAATTGCCCCACGCTCTTCATGTACCACAAGGGCTCGCTGCAGAACCAGCTCCTGGGCATCCGCAAGCTCAACGGCATCGATATGAAGGTCGAAGGTGGGTGCATCCGGTACATTGACGTGTTCTTGAAGCCTGGTACTAACTGGTTGTGTGTGGTGTTTGCGTTGCAGACCTGGAGGAGTACTTGGCCAAGGCCAACGTCTTCAAGGCGGACGACTGATTTCGCTGGTACTAGTAGGCTCCGCGCGTTGTGCGAACGCACAGTGTTCTGGGATAGGAAGGAGGAGGAGGCTGTTTTCCTTGTGCATTTACATCGAGTAGTTGAAGTACTATAGATTTTTGCCTAGCACGGTGCTCAGTCGCTCTCCTCTATTAAGTTGTCGTTGCCTTGCGCAAACATCTAATCCTGCAGCACCTTGGGCACCTTGAAGTAGTAGCCAGACTTCTCTGCAGCGTTCGCCAGCACCTGCTCCGCGCAGTTTCCTTCCGTGACGACATCCTCCCGAAGCGGAGCCACAACACCTGCAACCATGACTCAAACAGTTAGCCCACAACTCGATCCACTACATACAACACTTTAATCGACAACTTTACCCGCGTCGAAGTCGCTCTTCGCGTACACATCATCGATGTTCTCGTTGAGAGTCATGGCCTGAATGGTCTTAGTGCACTGAATAATGGACTCGACGTCTTTGAGCAGTCCAGGGAGCTTCTCGTCCTCCACGTGCAGGTGGCACAGCTCCGCCAGCTCACGCAGCTGATCACAGACACTCATTGTCAACCCCCATACACTCGCACAGCCACTGCAAACCACTTTAAGCGCACCTTCTCCTCCGTCAGCACGGTATCCGCAGCATTGAGCTCTGCTCCCTCCTGGTGCAGCTCTTTCAGCGACCAGGACGGCGTGCGCGGGACGCTGCTGATCTCACGAAGACCTTCAGGCAGTGAAGCCGCTGCAGAGCTCAGGCGCCGAGCAGCAGAAGCCCGCAGAGCACGGCACTGAAGCTGCCTCGCCACTAACAGAGCTGCTCGCATTATGCTGTGCTGCTGATGATGTCGAAATGTGCGGCTGGTGCGGCTTAAGTTCGATTTTTAGCTTGGAGTTTGCATACAGCGCCTCACTGCGAGCGGCCATGAAGGTGCCCAAGATGCTCATCGACTACTCGCTGCGCTTCGGCATTCCCATCGGGCTGTGCTACGCGTACTGGGACCCGAAGTCGGACGAGGAGATCCGTCGCGACGTGGTACGTGGGGCCTGAGACCGGAGAGAAGAGAGCTGGCAGTGTGGACTGCAGTAGTTGAGTGGTGGGACTGGCTGGGTCTGACTGCCCTACTTGATGCAGGAGTCGAAGATCAGGCCGGACCTGGAGAGCAGGAAGAAGAAGCAGGCCAAGTTCGCCGAGCTGCTGCTGCAGAAGGACGGCATCTCGAGCGAGTCCAAGCAGCAGCTGGACCAGGTCACGGCCTTCACCAAGACAAAGGAGCAGTATCTAGCCGACCGGAACAAGGAGAAATGAGAGCAATTTGGTGTGATGTTGAAGTCGCTCATACTTGTCTTCACTGAGTAGGTGTTTGTATCAGTGCATGTATCGCTGGATGCGGCTGCAGTGCACCGAGTCGACCTCTTTCAACGCGGTCTCCAGCTGGCGCTGCATGAGTTTGAGACCGTCGTAGTCTACGCGAAGACACGTCGATTGAAGCTGGGGCACGCTGGAGCTGCTGGATTGTGTTGCAGTGTCCAGGCGAAGCGTCACAATGGGTTTTGGTTTGTTGCGGTGGAAGCGCGTGCCGAGCTGTCGTAACGCGGATGAGAACATTTACTCTCTAATTGCCATGCCCACCAAAAGCTTACCTCGAGGTCGATTCGCCACTCCAAGTTGCGATAGTGGGGCACGCTGGTTCGTGTTTCCCTGGACACGCACTCTCGAATGTCTTTCGCGTGCGCCTCGTATATCTAAGGAGACATCGCACGGCGTTCAGTCGCCTGAATTGTGACCGCAGTGGCGGGGTAGACCAGCAAATGCAAACCTGCGCAAGGACTTCAACGTGTTGCTCCGGCAGCGTCATCCCCTTCAGCACCATCCGGAACGCTTGCTCGGACAATTCCGCCTGCAATAAACATTTCCCAGCACCTTAACGTTCAATGACAACACCTCATCTTCAACTGCATCCACGCTTTGCTCCCACCTTGGCGCCATCCATGAGAATCTTCGCGATGGCGAGCACCGCCTGTTCCACCTGCTCAGTCTCCCATCCGGACGCCGCTGCAAACAAGAAGCGGCAGTATATCAGCACTGCGTACATGTAGGAGGCTAGCATTAACTATATCAATTGCACTTACAGGCCGTGCGCGTCAGCCGCCGCTTGCTCTGCTTCTCCGAGCCGAAAAGCCGCACCGCCAGCTTGCACACCGCCGCGAAATCTGCCCCCAGCCACGCAACGCAATGAGCCACACGCACCAACCCATCGCCAGTCTATTGCCCACACATTGGAGCTCTTACTCTCCGCCGACAGCGCGCTGGTCTGCGCCACGGCCTCCAGCACGCGCTCGTCCGCCGCGAAGCTCAAGCTCATGATCGATGGATCTGTCTGATTCGGTCTGATGCGCGTGCAACTTTCGGCCAATCGGCGCGTCGAGCAGCCATTCCCATAGAATTCGCCTGTAAAGAGACGATGGCGGCGAACGGCGCGAGCGGCGGCGGCAGCCGCAAGGACCCGATCCTGGACCTGGCCAAGTACATCGACCAGGAGGTGCGCGTCAAGTTCCACGGCGGCCGCGAGGTCACGGGCACGCTCAAGGGCTACGACCAGCTGGTGAACCTCGTGCTGGACGACTGCGTCGAGTTCCTGCGCGACCCGAACGACGAGTACCGCATCACGGACGACACGCGCAAGGTCGGCCTCGTGGTGTGCAGAGGCACGTCGGTCATGCTCGTCTCCCCCGTGGACGGCACGGCCGAGATTCCCAACCCGTTCCTGCAGCAGGAGGGGTAGGAACAGTGTCGGAATTTCAAGCTGCAGCAGAGATTAAAACACCCAAGATCCGTATTTGTGCTGTGTGTGTGTGTTGCTCATGGTGCTTCTTTACGTACAGTGAGTGCACTCTATTGTGTTTCTTTGATTTGTGGTTGTTGCCAGCTACTGCACAGGGTCCACGAGACGCACCTTGTAGACGGCACCCCAGAGCTTGCCCGTGACGTAGAAGACGTCTTCCGCGTCGTCATAGGCGATGCCGTTGAGCACGGCGCCGGACATCACGTCCACGCCGACGTCCGCCACGAGCTTGGACAAGTCGAACATGGTGACGATGCCGCCGGTCTCCGGGTCGATCTTAAGCACGTACGGGTGGTACCACACGTTCGCGTAGATGAAGCCCTTGGCGAACTCGAGCTCGTTGATCTGCGAGATCTTCTGCGCGCCGTCGTACATGGTGACGTCGACACTGCGCACCTCCTCCATCGTCTTCGGGTCCAAGAACATGAGCGTTGACGAGCCGTCCGAGACGACGAACTTCTCGCCGTCGTACGTGATGCCCCAGCCTTCGCCCGTGACCGTGTCGAACGTGAACTCGCGCTTCAACGTGAAGCCGTCGTCGTTGCTGTCAGCCGCCACGTCCAGGTCGAACACCAGGCCGGTCTTGCTCTTCCACGTTAGCATGACCAGCTCGTCATTGGGCCCCGCCGTGACGCCTTCACCGAAGAGCTCCTGAGGCAAATTGTACTGCTTCAGCACCTTGCCGCTCTCAATGTCCACATGGCGCACGCTCGACTCTCCGTTCAGCCCCGTCGACTCAATGAAGATCTTGTCGTGGCCGCGGTTCACCACCGTGAAGCCCTGCGTGAAGGCCGTCGTGTCGTGCGGGTACTTGGTCAGCACATCGACCGTCGGCCGCGCCGCCGCTCGGCGCTCGACTCGCGCCTTGACGCGCGCTTCCTCGGACGGACTCAAGTTGCGCTTCGGCGCAGGAGCTGGCGTCTCTTCCTTCGTCTGCGTCGCGCCCAGACTCATCATGGTCACAACCAGCGCGATGATGACCGCGATGACGCCCATGCGCACGAGGAGGCGCGGCAGCATCCCGACCTCCTTCTCTCGCGTAGCGTCTTGAGCTGAGGCCTCGAGCTTCTTGGCTTGTGCTGCTGCGAGCTGCTTGTCGCGCCGCCTCGGGCGTCTGGAGACCTGGTTGCGAGCCATCTCTCGTCACGTCAAGCCGCAGGGGGAGTGCGAAGGTCTCAATCGCCTTGGCTCCCAATCTCGCACTGAGCTCTCCATCACGGACTGACGCTGCAAAAAACAAAGTTGAACTGCTACACTTCCCGCAACAGTAATGTGTATGTTTGCAAAACTATTGCGAACTTATCGGGATTTGGCGGGAAGCCCGCCAATTTTGGACTAAGTACGCACGAGAGTCATTCACTCACCTTGAGCTTGTCGCCGACCATGGAGACGATGAAGGAGATCGCCGTGAACGTGAACGGCAAGGGCGCCATGCAGCTGGTGACAACCCTGCGCGCCATGAAGGACGGGCAGGTGCCCGCGGGCCGCGACGTCGTGTTCACGAGCGGCGAGGACGGCGTGCTGTACGTGACGGACCTGGCCGCCGAGAGCTCCGTGTACCAGGCCGAGGTGTGCGAGGGCTTCGTGCCGTCCTTCGCCGTGACGCCCGAGCAGAGCCATGTGCTCATCGTGTCCGACGACGACAGCAACGTGGCGTCCTACAGCCTGCCGCCCGACTGCCAGCTGGACCAGTTGCTGCGCCGCTCCACCGTCTCCATCCGCCAGGTCGCGTGCTCGACGCAGTTCGTGGCCATCGCGGACGAGGAGCCCGTGGTGCGCGTGCTGCTGCGAAGCAACACGGAGCAGGTGATCCTGGCTGAGGGGGCCACGGGCGCCATCAAGAGCGTGGTGCTGGACCCGCAGGAGAAGTATCTGTGCGCCAGCAGCGAGGACGCGACGGTGCGCGTCTTCGCGCTGGACGTGGCGGCGCAGCGGGCCACGGAGGCCAAGCGCTTCAGCATCAAGCACGGAGACATTAGGCACGACGACGTGCTGCTGCGCTGTGCGTGGCAGCCCGGAGACAATCGCAAGTTGCTGGCGGTGCCCATGGACAAGGGCATTGTCGAGCTGTTCGAGAGGGATACGTGGTCGTCCAAGGGCAGGTTGATGCTCCCCATTGGCAGGAGCACCGCGGCCGATGTGGATATCTTGTCCTTCTCGCCTAACGGACAGTACCTGGCCGCTGCCACGTGCGCGAAGGAGGTGTTTGTGTGGGAGCTGGAGACGCAGACTGTGCTGCGCTCGTTCAAGATCGACTACCCGGCACTGGGAGTGCAGTTCGCCAACAAGAGCAACGCGCTAGTGATTTATCACACGGGCGGCAAGCTGGCGTTCGTGAAAGACGTGATCCCCGCGGGACACACGCCGCCGCAACACACGGTTGGCTTGCCGACTACGGCTGCAACTACTGCACCGGTCAATTCCTCGCAGCTGCGTAAGAAGAGCTTGAAGGCGTCGGCGTTTGTGGAGGACGAGGCTGAAGTGGACGGCAAGCACGATGATGAGGACGAAGAGGAGGTGAGCTTCGATGACGACAACGAGGCGCGCGTGGAGGCCATCAAGGCCAGCTTTGGCTTTGGTGCGGCTGCGAACGCTGCCAATGACGACCAGGTTGAAGACGAGGACGTCTCGATGTCTGCTGGGACTACTTCCAAGTCCTCGGGGCAGGAGGTATCTCCGCTGCGCACAGTCACGGAGCCCTTCCAGCCGGGTAGCGTAATGGACCCCACTGGACGGAGCAGCAGTGCGACGTCGCTGCTGGCGTGGACGCCGGAAGGAGAGATCGAGGTGATCCGCGGAGCGAGCATGAGCGAGAACCTGGTGAAGGTTGAGTTCACCGACAAGTCTCGACGTGGGTTCAAGTTCAACGACAACTACATGTTCTCCATGGCCTTCCTGGACGACTATGGCGCCGTGTTTGCCGTGCCTCGACGTGCTCGTGAAGACTGGGAGGACCTCGAGGCAGGCTCGAGCGAGAGCGACGTTATCAGCAGCTTCGTGTTCTACCGCCCGTTCGAGTCCTGGGCCAGCAACAGCTCGTGGCACAAGACCTTGCCCGAGGGGGAGGACGCCGAGTGCGTTGCCGCTGGCCGTGAGTTCTGCGCAGTGGCCACCTCGCTGCAGACTCTGCGCATTTACACAACCAGTGGCATCGACTACGCGCTGCTACGTCTTCCTGGCCGCGTCGTGACCATGACAGCGAAGGAATCTCTTCTGGCCGTCGTGTACCAGGGTCTACACGGGCAGATGCTCTACCAGCTCCTCCGCATCCAGGTGGACTCGTCCCGCGAGCGCGTCGTGCTGGTCTCGAAGGGCGATCTGCCCATGACGCCCCCACCACGCGATGTCTTCGCGTCACACAAGGAGAACGAGATGACCCGGGAAGACCCGTCGAACTGGTCCAAGCTCACGTGGCTCGGCTTCGACGATCGCCAGATCCTGTACGCTGTGGACTCGTTCTCGTGCGTGCAGGCGCTGTCGCCCAGCACGGGCTGGAGCTGGTTCCCGATCGGCTGCGTGGGCAATGCGCTGCAGAAGAAGCCCGAAGACCGTCACGGCGTGTTCACGCTGGGCGTCGTCAACGACTCGCTGCTGTACTTCCCGCTGGAGAAGGGAGCTCGGGCCCCCAAGCTGCGCGGCAACCACCGCCCCGTGCCCGGCACCTTCCCCCTGCGCACGGCGTCCTTCCCGAAGACGTCAAAGAAGAACGAGGACGCGTCCAATGGCCACATGTGGCAGAACGTGCGTCTGTGTGGGCTGGAGGCTATCGCCAACGAGATGAACGCCGACCAAGTCGCGGACCAAGTCGTGCACGAACAGGCCGAGATAGACAAGGCGCTGATCCTGATGATGAAGATGGCGTGCTCGAACGACGAGCCTGCGCGCGTGCTGGACCTGGCCAAGTGCCTGCACCTGGAGAAGTCGCACCAGATTGCGCAGAAGCTCGCCATCCACTTCCAACTGCGCCAGCTGCAGTCGCAGCTCTACGAGCTCTACCGCGTCAAGTTCGAAGAGCCGAAGCGGCTGGAGCAGGAGGCGGCGATGCAGATGCAGGCCGCCTCGCAGCCGCGCCGGCAGCCAACAGCCTCGTACCGCTCTACCTTCCAGGAGGAGGACGCTCCCGAGTCACGAGAAGTGGAACCGCTCCGTCGTGCGCGCAGCATTCTGTCGCGACCGCCGGCCTCGTCGCCCCGCGAAGACGAGCAGCACGACACCGAGGACGCGGCCTCCGCTGACGGAACGCAGGAGGACCAGGCGCCGGGATCTCCGAAGGCCTCAAGCCGGAGCAAGACCAGCAGTTCCACCGCCGCTGCACGCGTGGAGCGGTCCGTGGCGCCGGCGAACCCGTTCCTCAAGAAGCCCGGCGGTTCCACGGCGTCTCCCTCGGGCAGCAAGAAGACGGGTCTGCAGCGGCTGGCGAAGTTCGCGTCGCCGCCGCCCGCCAAGAAGCAGCGCCGGTCGACGACGTGGAAGAAGTAAGGCTAAGCTAGGCTACAGGGTGGCGGTCATTCGTGGCGCTCCTCCATCGCGCAGAGAGCGCAGTGGCTCGTCACCCATACTCAACTAATAATATAGCAGGTGTGTGATCATTGCAGGCCGTGCGCGATGCCTTCGAACAGAGGAAGCAACAGACGAGTGCGGGCGATGGCCGAGCGCGTAATGACCTGCGTATCTTCGATCGCTTAGGCCTAGGATACACTTCGACTGACCGCACAGTACTCGGCCCCATCGCCGATTAGATCGCTGGGTTCAATTTGGACGGTGCTGCGCTGCGCAGACCAAGGGTATCGCGACAACATTGTTGGTGTTGGTGGTATTGTCGGTCTCCGATGCTGCGATGCGTGCGTGACCTGAGAGTCTCAGGCTGAGACCTCAGGGCCCCGGAGGTTACCATGCTATACACGTGTACGACAACTCAAAGCCACCAACCCACCCTGGCACAGCTTGGCTGGCCATCCAGGGTGGCTCCGACTGCGATTCTTGTCGTGTGATGAATGCACTGCAACGTGGTCAAGTTGTAGCCATGCCGTTTTAAGGAGGTACATTTGCAATACCACGTATCCACGCTGGCTTACAGCTCAGTCAGGCGTAGTCGGAGCACTGATCACATCAGCGCCCGGAGCGCGCGCCTGGAGCCAAGGGCTCCGCAACTTCCCACGTGGCACCGGCACGGAGTTTGCTATTGCTGAGCTCATGACGTGTTATGCCCGAAAAATCCTTGCTGCAACTAGGTGTTCAACCTCACGCTCTCTGCATCCGCGAGCGAGCACCATCAACGTCTCAATCTCAACTCAATCTCAAGCCATCGCCGCGATCCAACTCGCATCATCGCGGCAACTCCGTCCGTACACGCCCCATAGGCCTCGAAAGAACGGTGCTGAGGTACAATGCAGCTACAGGGTAGGACTAACGACCAACGAATGCTTTCAGTGAAGCTATCAGGCGATCCGCGCGCTTTGCGCTTGCTTCGAAGTCGAAATGCCGTGGCCGTGGGTACATTGGGGCCTATCGATGCAACGCGTACCGGATTCTGGGATGCCGCCACCTGCGCCTCGGGACTAGTTTTCCACCCACCGGCCCGAACGGTGATGACGACGAAGCTCGGGGCCCACGGCCGTCACCAACGTTGATGGTGCCCATTCCCGAATCGACCGGGAGCCCGCCAAGTCGCCCCATCGAGGCTCTGCATGAATGCCCCCCACTCCTCCGTCTCCTTCGTCGTCGTCTTCCAGCCCTGCAGCAGCGCGCGTGCTGGCGCGCTCCATTCCTCGAGGACGGTCGTGGCACAACAATGCGGACGACCGACTCACGCGCAAGCTCATGATGCTGCGGCTGCGGAGACTGCACCCGGTGCTCGCAGGGACCAAGTGCACCGCCAGCGCCGCAAGCAACGGCAGCTCCGTCGCGGTGCCCTCGCTCGTGCAGCGGCTCGAGTGGATGCTCTACAACGCCGCCCACTCGATGCATGAGTACACACACGAGCAGTCCCTGGAGCGCCGAGTGCAGGCGCTCGTCACGCAGCTCGAGCCCAAGGTCGTCACCGAGCAGAAGCAGCAGCAGGGCAGCAAACGAGGTCGGGATGTCCGTATCACCAAGGGTGACAAGAAGCGCCAGCGGATACAGGACACCAGCAGGTCTCTACGCGACAGAAGCGTCTTTATGCTGGAGAACGACGACAACCTCGTGGGGCTCGTGCTGAGCTTCCTGTCCGGCCGAACCGTGCTCCAGCTTCGCTCCGTGAACCGGTTCCTGGCCGAAAACGCGCCCAAGATGGTGAGTACGCTGCATCTCGAAACGCACTCGCCAGCTCTGCAGCATTTCTCGAGCGGAACACTGACGGCCTTGCTGCTCCGCTGCAGCAAGCTCACCAGCCTCGTGGTGACGAGCAAGCTGCGGGATTACGATGTCTGCGTCGAGGTAGACGAGCCCGTCAGACGGACCACGCGGACCATGGTGCATCGTCGACCCTCGTTCAGCCGTCCAACTCATCGGTACGGTACCAAACCCGCCAACCGAGTCGTGGCAGGCGAGCTCTTGCTGCGAGACATCACGCAGGCATTCGAGCAGGGCGCGTGCCCGGAGCTGGAGGAGCTGGACCTCGGCTCGCCGCTCGACTACTTCGCCGAGAGCGACGACGTGCTGAGATGCCTGGAGGCCTTCGCGACAGGGAAGCCAACTCGAAGAGGAGCGGTCGATGGCGCCGGGCCGCTCCAGTACCTGCGCCTCGACTCGACCTACCTGGGCGACGCACGCCTGAGCCGCCTGGCGGGTGTCTTCGAGCAGGTTGCAGACCGCTCGCGCCGCTGCGTCAATTGCTTCGGCTCGTTGAAGACGCTGGTGCTCCGCAACAACTTCATCGGCGAGGCCGGCTGCCAGGCGCTGCTGCGCATGCTGCAGTGTTTACCAGCGCTGCGCGTGCTGGACGTGAGCGGCAACATCCTCACCGATTTGGACGCACTCGCGCTCGCAGACTGGATATCGAGCCGCGCAGAGCAATTGCTTAAGGCGCCGGGTAATCCCATCGCGCTGGGCTGCGAGGCCGAGTCTCCCGCCGTCCAGCTGCGCACGCTGCTGCTGCAGGACAACTTCATCGGCCAGGAGGGGCTTGAGGCGCTTTCCACGGCGCTCAACGCGCGATTGATCCCGTCGTGAGGCCGCGTGTAGCATACCGGTACAGTACTGTAGGCACTGTATTCGACAGCCAGTAGCCGAGTGTAAAGAGACCGTCAACACGATGCCAGTGCAGCAACGATCGCAACGTTCGTGGGCTTGACAACAGTGGGATGCTAGCCGCGATTGGCGAGAAAAACGCACGGTATGCGAAGCTCCCCTGCTAAATGCGATTGCGCTGCATCGACTTCAACAGGGCATATAGCTACACGGTATCGATAGGCAGTGGTTTAGATAGACTGGGAAATATCTCTGTGTATTCGATTCCAGAGATACACAAATCCAAATGGAAAATATCCAGTAGAACATTTTACTCAACATTTTACTTTATTCTTTTTTGCCGCTCTTCAGCACACTTTTTCAGCTGAATTCCTCCGTTTGCGGACGGTGCTTATGCCTCGGGCACCGGCGACTGATTAAAGTCGATTGCGGCTAGGAATCAGAGAAACGCGGTGTCAAATGTCTCCCAGTCAAATCCCGAGGCACTGAATGTGCCTCCGCTCCAGTGGAATCCTGCGACGAGGAGATCGCGTGGTGGTCCACCCACGTGCTTGCGATACTGTACAACTCTTCGGCTCGATCGGAGTGGCGGATGAATACGCGCTCGGTTTGGGCCTGTTGATACAGTGACATTCTCTGGCACCTTTACCTTCATGCAAACCACGAGGAGCAGGATATCCTGTTATTGTTGTAAGACTGTAATCTAGTGATAACTCACTGCTGCCACCCGCCCTTTTGAGAGGAGTCCAACCAGCAGAGGTGCGAGATATCTCGGCGTCCCGGAGGATTCTGAAACGTTGGCGAAAATCTACGCTGTCGATTCGGAGAGAGCGCGAACGGTGCTGGTTTATCAGCTCACTCACCACCGATGCCCAAAATTTAATCACGAGAAAGTATCTTCAGAAGTACCATGGCACCGGAGCCAGCCATTGCTCGAACTGTTATGTCTGTTGTCCTCGGAGCGAAGCCATTGCAGCACATGGGTACCAACCAGGAGCGGACAAATTTGCCGAAGCCATCTCTTCTGATGCAGGCGGCACTGGCTGGTAGCCGCCAGCAGGCGAAGCTAGGCAAGCTGCTTGGAAAAGGACTGCTGCTGACTCAAAGCAGGCGCTCTTGCGCTTCAGAAGACACGTCTAGCATGATTATCTCTCTTTATCCTGATACAGTACTTTGATGATGGTTACACCGTGGAAAATAGATGAAATATCAACAGTATGAAAAAATATGGATAAGAGTTTAATATTGCCTCTTCTATCAAAAGTATCTTCTTACCTGCTCCAAGTGATCCCTCTCTATTGCGGTAACCGTCGCTAACTCGAAAAAATGCACTAATCGCACCATCGTCTGGTTTCTTTTACCCGGTCCGTATTCCAGTCCACACCTTCTACGAGCCCGAGCCCGTCAACTTCAAAAGTGGGCTCCCCCTAATACGAGAGCCAAAAGTCGCACAAAATGGGCTGCCTCATGGTAAGTACGAGATCAAGGAGCCATGGTTCGGGCTCCCCATTGGCTCCCCTCCAGGGCTCCCCAAATTTAGCTTCAAATTTATGATGGGCTCTTCATAGTAATATCTGATTGGCCAATTTTACCTAGACTTAAGGCGAGCAACTTCGCGTGATCGATGCGCCACGCTAGAAGATCGAGCTCAAAGATCACCACACTAGAAGATCTCGCGCCGCTCATATGTGTACAGCCGCTCCGAGGCCACCCCAGCGTCGCCGATCGTCCTTCCTTCCCCTCAAGGAGAAGCCCTCTTTCCTATGCCTTTTCAGGCTAGAACCTGGAGATACTTCAATGACGGCCAATCATCAGCGAGATATTTAACACAGGTGAGGGGGGGAGCCTAACGAGGGCTCACAGTTCTGGAGGGCTCCTTTCACTTAACCTATTGAACTCAAGAGCCCAGGAGGCCGCGACTTTTTGGGTTCACCCAAGAGCCCAGGAGCCCGGCTCTCCCCAGGGCTCGTAGAAGTGTGTTCCAGTCCACATCATCATCCGCGTCAACCGCGACTTTGACTCCCGAGCTCTCGTGCCCTCGGACCATTTCGCAACCAGCCGACCCCGGCGCAAGTCCCGACTGGATCCACGCCCAACTCGACCGCATCAATGCAATAACCGCCACCTCTCTGTGCCCATGGTCTCCGCTCCGTCCGAGGCTTCCGTCTTCACCACGACCCCCGCGTGGCACGACCCGACCGACGTGCAGGTCCGCAAGCTCATGATGGCGCGACTGCGCAACCACCCGGCGCTGGCGCTGCACCACCCGATCCTGCAGGCGCGCGAGGACACGGGCGCGAGTCCGTCGCTGCTGCAGCGCCTCGAGTGGATGCTCTACCATTCGGCCGGGTCGCTGGCCGAGTACCTGCACCAGCAGTCGCTCGAGCGCCGCGTGCAGGGCCTCGTGACCCACTACAAGCGCAAGCGCGCGCAGACCGACCCCAGCGAGGAGGTCATGGCGGCCATCCGCGCCTCCGCCGCCAAGCGCCAGCGCCCCGCGCGGCTCTCGATCTCGGAGGACGAGATCCGCAACTGCAGCGTCGGCGCCCGAGGCTGCGTGCTCAATAGCAACTTGGACCTGCTGCACCAGGTCTGCAGCTTCCTGGACGGCAAGGACGTGCTGCGCTGCCGCGGCGTCAACAAGTTCCTGTACCTGCACGCGCCGTCGTTCGTGCGCACGCTGCACATCGATGCGTCGAGCGCTTCCGTCGCCGAGACTCGGAACCGCGGCGACGGTGCGGCGACTGGGCTGAGCACGCTGCTGCACGAGTGCAAGACCCTCACGAGCCTCACGATCTCGAACCAAGCCAACCAGACGCACCTCAAGGCCGGCGTCGTGTTCCCGCGCGCGTTGACGGCGGCGACATACATGGCCTCGCTCGCCCCGACGTCGTACGGTCACCAGTTGGTGCGCGAAGTGGCGAAAGCTTTGGACGAAGGCGCGTGCACCTCATTGGAGCGACTGGAGCTGCTCGCCCCGTTCGACTTCGCCGCTGAGAGTGACGGAGTGTTTCTGGTGCTGAAGGCTCTGGCCAAGCCGAAGGTGTACCAAGGAACGCGGAAGCCTCTGAAGCACTTGGTGCTCGACGCGACGTTCCTAGGCGATCGAGGCCTTGAGCAGCTCGCGGATCTGTTGGACAGGCGAGACGCGTTCTTCCAGCACCTGCAGACGCTCACGGTGCGCAACAACTTCATGGGCGAGACCGGTTGCCGCGCGCTGCTCGAGGCCATCGAGTCATTCGACGAGCTGCAGGTGCTGGACCTGAGCCGCAACATCCTGACCGACACGGACGCGCTGGCGCTCGCAGATTTGCTCGACGATCCTGTGACAGACTTGGGCTTCTGCGACGACATGGAGGGGGACTGGAAGGCCTCGTCTGAAGACGAGCGCGTGGCTGAGCACTTCAATGTCTTGGGGCTTGCCGGACTGCGCACGCTGAAGCTGCAGGAAAACTTCATCACCTGCGACGGATTCCATGCCATCACGATCGCATTGTGCGCGCGCCAAGGCTTTGTGGCCACGGTGGGGGATGCCACGGACAACAACAATGAAGAAGAAAACGAAGAGGTAGAGGATGAAGACGAAGAAGAAGATGAAGAAGTAGAACTGATGGAAGTTGTGGAGCAAGAAGAGCACTAGACGATATTTATGAACATGAATTCCCGTATAAATAGAGGAGCGGTAGTGCAATACCACTACGCGAGTTCGCTGCCTTGCTTGCTCAATACAATGGGCAGCGCGTAGTGCGCGCATCACCGAGTTGCGATAAGTACCATCGTAATATTGCAGCTTGAACGATGGCGGCTTCCAGTCAGGGCGACGACGACGATGATGAGCGTCGAGCACTTGAACGAGAACTCGCAGAGGAATTGGCGTCATTATCCGCCCAAGATGTCGGGTTTGATGAATGTGATAGCGGTGGCGATGACGAGGGAGATGAAAATGCGGGCTGGATGACTAGAGGCGGCGAAATCGCGATGGAATATGTGCGTTTGGACCTCGATAAAGTGTTGCAGCAAGTGACTGAAGCTTCAGCGGACGAGCTGCACGCCCACAGCTGTGAACCGGGGGATAACGATTCCAAACCAGGCCAGCCAATTCTACCATCTGCATGGGAACTTTTGCTTCAGGGCGTCGAGCGTGTTGATCGTGAGTTCTTTCAGCCAATTCATGAAAATCTGGACGATATTCGCACAACGATTCTCGATGCAAAGTCCCCACAGCAAGCGACCCCAGAAGAAAATACCCACCACTCTCAAATATCCGACGAGGAGGCAGATTACACAAGTCGTGATATTGAAGGTTCATTGCTGGAACAAACCATTCCACCAGTACCCGATGACAGCAACCAGGAATCTTCAAAGCTGTCCACCGATGTTGGAGAAATTCAGGACCGACCCACCGTCCAGGAGAAGAAGGAGCCGATTGCGTCCAAACCCGTGACGGATAGCACTGTGGAGCAGATAACGGATAGTGTTGAAGCAACACCTACCGATTCCGAGCCTGTTTCAGTAGATCACCCGTCAAACTCCTCAAACAGCACTTCGATTGCGATTGCTGTCGTCCTTTCACCATCACCTGGTAAGCACAACACAATACCCATTGACGCCGACGAGCCCATTGACGCTGAAGAGCAGCGCCCGGTGGATGATAGTGCAAGGCAGAATGAGCTTGACGCAATCGCAAAGCAGCACGCAGCACGTGAATCGCGCCGTTTGAAGATTCAGGCTCGACAGCAGAAGGAACGCGACGAAGCAGCAAGTTTCCTGAGGCAACTCCAAGAGGAGTTCGAGGCCCAAGAGAAGGGTGCCGAGGCAGCACGAAAAGAATCGCTGGAGCGATCATTAATGACTAACGAAGAACTTCGTAGTCGATTGTATGCTTCAGCTATGCGGGAATTTCATGAGACTGCGCTTATGGTCCTCGCTGACGAAGAATCACGAACTTTCACCATGGAATTAGCGCGGGTACAGCAGTCAATCTGCCGGGAGGTAGCCATGATGACGATTGAGGATCAGGCTGAGAGGCAAAGAATGCAACTCGAACGTCAATTACAACAGCAGAAGCAAGATACTTTGGCTCGGTGTCAGTTCGGTGCCGTGTTGTCGGAGCTGGTAAAATATCACCAAGTCCAGAGTCAACTTCGGGACCAGCATTCAAAGCGTGAGCGTCGCGAGTGTGTACAGATGCGAGCTGAAGAGGCCTTCACGCGCCGAATAATTGCTGAGACTCTTGCACAACGCGAGCTACAAGTTCGTGAACAAAACCGAGCGTTAATGCTACTTGAAGATGAGCTTGCAAGAGCACTGGAAGACATTGAGCGGGCTCGAGAGCTGCAAGTTCAGGAGCGGTTGCGCGAACAAGAGTATCGTAGTTGTATGGAGAAGGAAGAGAGGCGGTGTCGCTCTGCGTGGACTTTCATCGAGGCCTTGGAACGCGAGCGAAGGCAGAATGAAGAGCGCTGTCGAATATCAATGAGGCAAGAGGAAGAGCGCAGTCGAAGTGCGTGGGCATATCTGGTTAAACTTGAAGAAGCAGCAGCAATGGAGAGGGAAAGCCAACGTGAACTCCAACGACTTCACGTTTTGGCGAATACCTCGGCTGGTATTCAAGGCATTGATCGTGTTTTCCAGCAGCACAAACTAGTTTCAGGTCTTGAAAAGTGGAAGCAGTGGCACGCGCAATGCGTCGAGGAAGATCGAGTCCGATCCATGGCTGTTGAGAATGCGGCGACGGTGATTCAGTTGTGGCATCGATCATGCCGAAGGAGACGAGAGGAACTTGATCACGTAGAAATTCCTCTTGTCCTCGAGGATTTCAGCGACGACGATGAGCAGCCACAGGTTGAGGACGCAGAGGACGACAACGAAGGACTTGAGCCTGGTGAATACACCAACTCTGCCGAGAGTCAGGAGGCAGCACTCCGGCTGCAGTCGACATTCCGTGGGTTTCATGTGAGACGGAAGTTTGCAAACGCGATCGCACTCGCCCAGGTCGTGGCGGGGCCTGAAGAGGGCGACACTTTTGACGCTGTAAATTTGGACGACCTCATTCAGCTCCCACCCGAGCTCGTTGATGGCTGGGAGGACCCCGTCCTGCCACCTGCGTTAGCGTTGGAGCAAAGGCAGTATATACCGCCTCCATGTGCTGGTGATGAAGAGGATCAAAGGCCAGAGCACGCTGATAACAACGAAGCGGACGATAAAGCCGCCACTCGTTTGGAGAGTTGTAAACGTGTATTAACTCCTCCGCACAACAAGAACCCTCCAAAGGAGCAGAACCTGGCAGCCACGCTGTGGAACAAGATGAAGCGTGCGAAGCAGCGGCAGCAACACGCCCAACAAGAGCGAAAGCGTCAGCAAGATCCTTCCTACCGAGTGCAGAAGCTGCTTAACCGCAAGCCCACCGCTTCGAACCAGAACGGTCATGCAAGTAATAGCAACCAGAGCAGTCATACGCAGAAGGTAGCGACCAACACGGTGTCGTGGTCATCGACAAGCAGCCAGAAGAAGAAGCCGAAAGTGAAGCTGCCGTCGTTGGTAGAGCGGCTACGGAGACAAACGATGGCTGAGCGATGACGATCGTTGAATTCTTACGGAGGATTCTTCACGTTATAGTGCAGACTATAGAGCGAACTTCTTCAACGTTTGGCCAGCAGCGCCGCCTCTTTCGTTTGGCGCATCATGAGCACGAACACGTCGAAGTCGGCCGTGGCCACCAGAATCTCCGAGCAAAGCACGGTGCCTGATTGTCGGTCGAGCTCATACGCTCGACGCACCAGCTCGTAGAACTCGTGCACGGTTGCTCCCTGCGATCGGATGTACGCTGACAAAAGCACAGATAAGCTGGATAAGCTACTGCAATGCGTCACGAAGGGCGGAAGAGTTCTCGGTTATTTACCTTCGAGCTTCTCCTCGAACAGAGCGAGGAACTCGTTGTAGATGTCCGTGTACCTGCAACGACACACAACCAAAAGCTTAGCTTCAAGCAGCAAGAACAAGTAAAGGTTTTATGGTTTCGACGCACTCGAGCTTCATCTCGTCGCTGTCGAGGTCGAAGGCGTGGCAGTGGGTCTCTGCGAACGTCTCGAACGTGTGCGCGAACTCGTCGTTGTCGAAGAAGAAGGAGATGACCTTGTTCACCAGGTCGTTGTTGTCCGGGTCGAAGCTGCTGCCGTCGTCGTCCTTGGCGCCGGCCTTTGCGTGGCCACCATGAGCTTTGGACTCGCTCGACCCGCCGGCGTGTTTCTCGTCCTTCGAGTCGGCGCTCGTCTTGCTCTCGCTGGGCATGATACCAACAAGCTCTTTGTCTTCTGAGAGCTTAATAACTTAGCAGAAACATTGAGCAGTTTCGTCGCCGAGGACTCTTCACCAGGCAGAAAACTACCCACTCATACTCCACCGATAGGAAAACTAAGCACAAGGGATCCGTCTCTTATCAATTCATTAGCGAACTCTGTTAGCGAACGTTGTTCAGGTTGAGGTCAAACCACGAGCTCGACCCACCAGAATCTGCTGTCAACGAGCTGATCGGCGTTGCACCTGCGTCACCTACAGTGATGTGATCAAAGGTTTCGTGTTCGGCACAGGTACTTGAAGTGTACTCTTCCCATTCAACAATTGCTTTCGTGTTGCAGTGTCCGCGATGGTGAAGCCATCTATTCCCACTGTCCGAGGGCGTGTGTTGCCCTTCACGCTGCAGACTAACCAAGGGCAAGGCTGTAGCACACCCGCCCGCCACCCGTTGACTTGCCTGAGTTGATTACATGACATGACCATGCATCCCCGAGGTCTGCTCTCATTGCCCTCAAGGTGCTGTGGGCTCCAGTCTCCACTTCACTTGTCCATTTCGCATTTGTCCGCCTCAAGCAACAACCTCATCACTCAAGTGCACCTTGATTGACCATGCTCAGCGGAATCAAGCTCGCCTTTGCCTGGGCTTCCGCAGTCGCGGTGATCTCTGACGCTGCACTGGAAGACGTGCCGAGCTTCGCTGTGCCATCGTTCAACTACGAGTCACTGTATGACGGTGACGCGCCGACCCGAATGCTTCAAGCTCTGGAACGTGGCGGCATCATCGCACTCAAGAACGTCCCCAACTACGCCAACACCCGCGAGCGCTACCTGACTAGCGCAGTGCAATGCGCCGTGGCTTCCGAACATGACGACGAGGGCATTCGCTACCTGTCAACCAAGCGGTTCCATGACGGCACGCGCCGCCTAACGCTGCGAGCTGCTGCCGGTCGTGAGCTGATGGACACCAACGCCGAGTCACTGAAAGCCATGGAGGCCAACTGTCCAGGCCACCGCGAACTCCACGAAGAATTCAGCAGCATGTTGGAGCGAGCGGTGGACACCTTCGCCTCGGCACTGGACAGGACCGACTTCACTATGGGTGACGGCGAGCGTCACATCAGCGCTCGCAAGCTCATTGGAGACGCCAAGCGACTCGACCATTTCCACGCGTACGAGGCGGCTGCAGCCCCTCCGAGCTCCACGCGCCGGTCCCTTTCGGCCGAGGAGATCGAGCGGGACTTGTCCTTGGCCATGCACGAAGACCACGGCCTCTTCATCGCCATGGCAGCGCCCAAGTTCTTCTCCGTCAACGCTGAAAACGGGAACATTCGTGAGCGCCGCCTGAAGTCTGACGCCTCGGGGCTGGTGATCGGAGCAGCCGAGCTCGACGAAATCGTTCGCCCCGAGCTAAAGCCCGACGAACTTGTCATCATGATAGGCACCGGCGCGTCGCGCTGGCTGGAGTCCAGCCACCACCTGCCGGCCGTCATGCACGGTATGCGAATGCCCGAAGAAATGGTATGGGACGCTGAAGCGACTCCGGGACAGCGTAACCTGCGCGCGTGGTTCGGTAAAATGACGCTGCTGCCCTCGTACCAGCGTCTGCTCGAGTCCAAGATGGACTTCGACGAGTTCACGAACCGCACCACTCGCCACCTGCTTGGAAGCTCAAAGGACGACATCAAAGCCATCGGATGCGCTGGCGGCCGCCACTTGGTGGAGTCGGAGGGAAGCTGCACGTACTCGATCTGCACACTGAAGCCCGGAGTGGAGAAGCCGCCCACGGTGGGCTGCAACCAAGCGTGCAACTACCACACCGAGTTCTTCGACGCCAAGTGCGAGAAGAAGTGCGACTGCACTGGAACCACCACGCAGGCCGATGTGTGCTGGATGCTCTGTGTCGCTCGACTCCCCGTTACCGAGTGCGCGCTGGAAGACCAAGAGTGCTCGGGTCTCAAGATGGTCTGCACGGCCAACGCCACTGACTCCAACGCAACCTCAGCACCTTCGGCTACGACAGAGGCACCTGTGCCCACAGAGACCCCACTACCTACGCCTGCACCAGTGTCCACGGAGACACCCTCAGCACCTCCAGCTACTACGACAGAAGCACCAGTGTCGACGGAGACCCCCTTGCCCACAATTGCGACGGATGCACCGATTTCCACGGCGACGCCACTACCAACGCAGACTCCGACCGAGACCTCAACGCCGACCACTGCACCATCGCCTGCAACTCCTGAGCCGCTAACTCCTTTGCCAACTGACCTCCCAGCGTCAACCAGTACGCCGCAGCCAGTCACCAGTGCACCATCCGCGGCACTCAAAACGACAGCGCCCGTACCAGGAGCGACCAAGACACCAGCCGAGACTCCAGCTACCAAGCAAACGCCACTTGCAACGAGCAATGCTGTCGCCAATCCGCCAACTTCGACTGAAGCACCGACTGCCACTGCCACACTTGAAACATCATCGCCGACTTCCACGGAGACCCCTCTGACACCAACAACCGTGCCGACATCAGCACCTGAGACGCCGATCACAGAGGAGCCGATAGTCCCTGGTGGACACTGTTAATCCTTGTCGATCTCCAGCTTCTACTGTAGGAATGCATTGATGACCTGTAGCCAAAAAGGAGCAACAGGAAAGACCACACACCCACACCTCAAATAACACGCTTTCATTCGTGTAGTCCTTACCGGCACCTTGCGTGCAGACCTACGCTCTGCCGATCCGATGGCCTGGCTTCCAATCTTCTTCAATCGTCCGCCTCTGATGTGGCTTACCGAGCGTGCCTGCACTGCACTCAAAGTGCAGCGTTCTCGCTCTTCTTCATTTGCGTCGCGAGTTGGGTGCTCTACATCTGCTCGTCCTGCGGCTCGCCCGCCATCTGCTCCTCTTCGACTCCTTCCTCCTCCGTCGCGTAGAGCACCTTGAAGATCGCCTGTGCCAACGGGTTCGTCTCGCTGTCCTCTGCTCCCTGCAGCATGATCTCCACCTCGCGCAGCTTGTTGAAGTAGAAGTCGCGCTCCTTCTCCAAGCTCTCGACCTGTTGCGAGCACACACAACCCATCGTGAACAACCGCTCCACCTCAACCACCTCCTGGCTCTAGACTGACTACGCACCATCGCGCGCAGCTCGCCGCTCTCGTTCGTCAGCGCCTCGTTGTTGGCCGTCAGCTCCTCCAGCTCCTTCTCCAGCGGCGCCGTGGCCGCACTCACTGCCGCTTCCACATCCGCCGCGGACACTCCAGCAGAGGCTGCAGTAGCAGTAGCAGTAGCAGTAGCAGCGCCAGCACTGGATCCCGCACTCCCCGTAGGGCGACGCGACGCGCCCGTCGACGTCCTCGCTGTACGCGCAGCCCCCACACTCGTGGGCGCGCCCGGCGGCGTCCTACCGACCCTGGACGTGGCGGTGGTAGTGGCGCCTACTTTCCGGCGCGCGGGCGCCGCGGGGGCCGAGGACGCCGCCGCGCCGCCGCCGAACTTCTGTGTGAACTGCGCGCCGCCCTTGCCCTTCTCGCGCTGCGCGATGGGGTCGTAGGGCTGGCCCGAGGCGTTGCGCTCGTAGAAGGCCTTGAACCACTGCATGAACTCGAGGTTGTCCTGGTACTTGCCGCGCACGAGGCGGTCCACCTCGACGTGCTTGTCGATCTTGAGCTGCATGAAGGCCTTCTGCAGCACCTTGTAGTTCTGGATGTACTCGTAGTCCTTGTTGGCCGACCAGTCCACCTTGCTCATCTGCACCTTGCCCGGGTACATGGCGTCCAGGATCTGGCACGCCACGGCGCCCGTGCACGTCTGCTCCACCTTGGCCAGGTTGATGGCGCACAGGCCGTTGATCCAGTCCAGGATCTCCTTGCGCCCCACGAAGTACGTGCCGTCCATGAGGCTCATGCTCTGGTCCGCGGCCGCCATGCTCGACGAGTGGATACGTACTACGCAGGAGGCTGTTTGGGTGCGGGGCGGCGTGCTTGGCTCGCGAATGCTGAAGTGGCGTCGTACGGGCGCCATAAGGTCATAAAACCAGATGGTGTATACACGGATAATGCGTTTTGGTGATATGTATACATGAGTTGGGTGAACTCTGAGCTCTTACAGTCATGTATGAGGCTCCTACATCTTAAGTCTAGGAGCTCTCGCATCGCAATTAGCTTCATGCTATGACGTGGGCTACACTTGTCAGTAAATCCATCGGGTTTATAACTCAACGTCCTGGAGACCGTCCTGCCCGTCGGACAATGAGGGCAGAGTGAGCTGCTCGAACGAATTGATACTGTTGTTCGCGCGTCGGCGCGTGGTCGGTCTGGAGGCGGACTTGTGGTCCAGCGCATCTAGCGCGTCTTGAACCGTGGTCGAAGGATTGGAGGCAAACTTGGTCGGGTGGTGGAACACAGCAAAACACGCGACGTGGAAGCCCAGACGACACTGGACGCAGCCGTAGCGCGACCGCGTCTTGAGCCCGCGCTTGCTGCAGAGGCGACAGGTTAACTTCGCCCCGCCCAAATTGGGCATCAGCACGTGCGCACTCTTGTCTTCATCATCTGCAACATCCTTCAGTTTTGGGGTTACTGCTGCTGTGTTGTCCTCATCTTCTCGCTGCCGCTTCCTGCTGATAGTCGGACGAATTGCCGTCTCAATTGTCGGCGGGGCCAGTGGCGGTGGAAACTCTTCTGGCGGCGGCTCCTGTATCCGTCGCAGCAACGGCTTCGGCTGCTTCTTTGACTGCGTTGGGTGTTGCAACTGCTGCGCCTGTTGTGGTGCCATGAGCCTCATTGCGATGCTCCTGTTGAATGCGCTCAGTGTCGCCTCTATGGAGCTCGACGACGGCAGCATCGCTGGCTGAGGTGTAAACGCCATTACGGCATCTCCAGCAGCAGCAGCAGCAGCAGCAGTGGTCGCCGCTGGTGCTCGTCTCGGTGCCAGCGGGACGTAATAGCCTTGTTGCGAGGCGCGTCGCCCGCGCGAGTCGTCCATCAAGCGCGAAGGTCGGAAGTGATTATGAGCTTGTTGTGTATACATACTACCGGATAATGTATACATTTGTATACGTGCGCTATGAGACGTGAGACGACGACTGGCATTCCGAAAGCCATGGCCAAGAAGAGCGGAGGTGCGTGACGACGAGGGCGGCCGCACGACAGCGACGGATCGTGGCGCAGGCTCACATGGCAGTGTACTGACTCGTGATGATGCTGTGCTGGCGGTGGTGGACGCAGGCTCGAAGCCCAAGGGCAATGCCGGCAAGAAGGCCGGCGGCAGCAAGCCCAAGAAGGCTGGCATGTTCAAGGCGCTCAAGAAGCAGGAGAAGAGGTGCGTGGATCGGAGCTGGCGACTGAATTGCATTGCGCTAGGACTGCTAGATGCTGACTGTACTGTTGCACCGCCGACAGGGCTGGCGTGGTAGCCGCAGACAAGAACGACCCGCACAGCAGCAAGCGGAAGGCAAAGGTGGCCAAGCGCCCGGCGCCCGTGTCCGACGAGTTCCGCAACTTTGACGAGCGCATGGCGGCGAAGAGCACTCGAAAACCCGGTGTAGTGCCCAAGGCTGCTGCGGTGGCTCCTCCCACGTTCGTCATGGCTGCTCCGACCTTCCAGTTGTGAGTGCCATGTACTCCTGTTATTGTTATGCGCGCCTGCATTGCACTCTAATGCTGGTGTTTGTTTTGCGTTTATTTTCTTGCTGTGGCAGCAACTCGAACCCTGGGCAGCCGACGCCCGCTCCGCGCGAAGTGGAAGGCTTTCACGGCTTCATGCCTGCGCTGGAGGCCCCGAAGGATGCACCGGCAGTGAACCCGAACCAGGCGGCCCGGCAGTCCAAGCCCGTGCAGCCAGAGTACCGCGGCAGCAACGTATTTGCTGTGCTCGACGACGGCGACGAGGAGCAGCAGAAGGCGCAGGCAGCGGCGCAGGCGGCAGCAGCACCGGCGTTCATGCAGCCGGCGACGTTCACGTTCGCGGCCGCCAAGCCCACGTTTACCTTGCAGTCGTCGCTGCGCCAGAGCATGCAGCCCGTGGCCGTGAACGCGGCGCAAGACATCGACCCCGACTTATAGACTGGCAATACATGTACGACTTCCATACACATCCACTACATGATGACTCCACTGCAATGCCCAACCTTGACCTTCTGTCAACTTTCTTCCTGTCACGGTAATGTCCGCTTCGAGATAAGTCGTACGGTATCAGATGCGATACGTCGTGGAATCGAGTAATACATGTTGAAAACACGTACTTTTATGCTGTAGCCAAACGGATAAGACAGGGTATAAAATGGTCGGTCGGAGCGGCGGCAGTTGCGATGATGCGTCGCCGTTGAGGCTCGCGCTTGAGCTGTCGGTGTCTTTTTGCAATAGAGAACGCCGAGCCCGAGCTCCGCTCCGCCGGCAGAGAAGCGCACGCGACGCGAGCCCAAGCAGCCCGCGCCCGAGTGCAGCCCAGCCCCTCCTGACCCTCCTCCTCCTTACCGCCGCGCAGTAGACTACGACCGGGAGCGCCGTCTTCTCGAGCCGCGAGGGAGAGCAAGCAGCAGCAGCAGCACGAGCCGCAGCGTCCGGCACGATGGGCAGCGCCAGCAGCAAAGCCGGCGACGCCAACCCCAAGAACTTGGGCGCAGACCCGAACGACCCCAACGCGTTCCCGCTGCACCACCACCCGTACTACAACCAGGCGGGCCACAACCAGCAGCAGCAGGGACAGCAGCAGCAGCAGCAGGGACGCAGCTTCGATGGCAGCGACGGGAAGCACCCGCGTCAGCAGCAGCAGTACTACGGCGCCCAGCACAGCGCCTCGGAGGCCATGGAGGTGGACCCGCCCACCGAGTCCTCCTCGGAGATGTCCTACATGGACGGAGAGGTGCCCAACGCCGCGCAACTGGACGTGAAAGACGCCGAGCTCGCCAAGGGGAACAACGCGCAGTCGGCGGACTTGACTGTCCCGCCCGGGGAGGACGTCGTGCCCATGGTGTTCAAGTGGGAGCACGGCGGACGCAACGTGTTCATCACGGGCACGTTCAACGGCTGGGACAAGCAGTGCCCCATGCACAGGTCCGGTAACGACTTCACGTACATCGCCAACCTCACGCGGGGGAAGCACATGTACAAGTTCGTGGTGGACGACGACTGGCGGTTCGCGCCCGACCAGCTCACAATGGCAGATGTGGAAGGCAACGTTAATAACTACGTGGACGTGTCGGACTTCGCGCCGCTGTCCGACTTTGACGGCAAGAAGCCGCAGGACGACGACGAAGACCCCGAGAACCCGTACTCTCGGTACATCCCCGAGATCGACGAGTACACCAAGGAGCCGCCCCCGCTCCCGCCGCACTTGCGGCACATTATCTTGAACAAGGTAAGCAACATGCGGTGCCTCCGGGAGTTGTGTTGCTGGTGCTGACCCGCGTGTTTTTGCGTCTGTGTTGTGTCATTCCAGGCGCCGCCGACTGTCGATGGCCGATTGCTGCCTGTGCCGCAGCACGTGGCGCTCAACCATCTTTACTGCACAGCAATCAAGGACGGTATGATGGTGCTGGGCATCACCAACCGCTACAAGCAGAAGTTCGTGACCACCGTTTATTATAGCCTCATGCCCGGCGCCAACTAGCTCTCGCCGCTCTTAGGCTAGGCGGGCTGATCGGTTAGGCAAGTGGGCGGGCGGGGTCGATTCCTGGATCGATTTAGCGTAGAGGTAGACAACGGGAGGAAGCGCGGAGCGAAGTCGCGGATGATCCAAGTGTTGGACGCGGCGCGAGGGGCGTGCAGTGCGCACGCCTCACCCACGCTTCTGTAGGAAGTAGACAGCACTCTTTTTTTGGTAAGGATCTGCTCGCGACGGTCGAGCGAGCGCAACGTCAGGGCACGGCCAACCTAGGAACGGCGAAGCCTAAAGCAATGAGAAGCGAACCACACTACATCTTCGTCCTTCCCAGCCATCGCCACCTGCCCTCGACGAATGAAAGAACACTTCGACACGAGCAGCGCAAAAACAATAAACATATTTTTGTCTTCTTCAGCAGCAGCAGCAGCGGCAGGAGCGCTATGATCCGCCAAGCCTGAGTCTACTTCAATTTGACGACGGACTGTCCTGCGCCGAGCTGTTCTCGTCCCAGCGCGCGCGCTCGCCTCCACCAAAACTGCAAGCTCCTCGCCCTCCCTCTCTCTCTCTCTCTGTACTGCTGTCACCTGCGCCTTCTATCGCTGGAACGAGCTTCAGCCTGCTGCTGCGCTGGGCTGAGACCGGACTGACTTGTGCTTGCTTATACGTAGATCTCGGCCCACAGGAAGAGGAAGAGCGAGCCGAAGCCCAGCAGCAGAGCCGCGATGAAGGCCAGCACCAGCTCCACCAGCGCGTTCTTCTTGGGGGCCACGGCGCGCGTGAAGAAGAGCGCCATGAAGACCAGCCCCGTCAGCAGCAGCACGACCGTGAGGAAGCCGTAGCTCTCCGGGTCCACAGGGCTCGTGTACGGGATTTCCTGCAGCATCCGACAGAACGCCGAAGTCAGTAGCTGTACTCTAATGCACATACACACAGGGCTGAGGGCCGCTGTGGCGCGCGGGGCCACTCAAGGCAACGCACCATTTCCATCGTCGCCAAGTATCGAGATCTGCGTGAGTGACACGTATGAAAACTGGTCAAGCTCGGATGATGTTCGATAGTCTATTGGGCTTACGATGACATAGGAGAGGTTTTGACGGAATGGATACATTTGCATTGCGAGCTTCCTGCAAGTCAACTTGCAGTGACAATGGTGCATGCGCGACAAGGTCTGGTGTATTGTGTGTATCCCCAGCATAAATACGAAACTTACTTGGATTCGTCTTGGTTCTGCATCGCCTCCTTGAGCCGCTGCACGAGTGAAGCTTTCAGGCCCTTGACGTCGAGTCCTCGCTTCTTGAGCTCTGCTCGCAGCTCCGTCACCTTCATCTTATCGACAAGGGCTACCGCGTCCTCCTTGGGCTCGGCAGCAGCGTTTTCAGACTGCGCATCGCCATCCTCTGCAGGCTTGGCAGCGGTTTCCTCCCGACTGGCAGGCTTTGCGCCCTCCTTTGCTTTGTCGTCAACAACAGCCCTTGCTGGCTGCCGAGGGCTGTCTTGCAGCTCCTTCTTGGGCTGCATGGTGTTTGATTTCTCGTCTTTGGCTTGGCTAGGAGACGAAGCCTCCGTGGTCGGTGCAGCCTTAACGTTATCGCGAGAACCGTTCGCTGTCGCGCGAGGAGAAGCGACTTGTTCTACATCTGCATCACTCTGTACGCCTTCACCTGCAGACGCATCATCGTTATCTCCCCCAGTGCCCCTCCTCCCTTCACTGGCTCCGACATCGTCTGCCTCGCTCCCAGACACACTCTCCTGCACGATGTATTCATCTTCCACCTCCATGTCTGAAGCCTTTTCAGCAGCCCTATCAGAGGACTTCCGATCTTCACTTGCATCGGCCTTAGTGGTCTTGTCCTCCTCTGGCTTCTTACTGCTCTGATCCATGTCTTCGTCGTCATCTTCCATTGCATCTTCCTTCTCTTTACGAGATGCCTCCTTGGCAGGCGATTTTTCTTTCTCCCCCTTCTTCGCAGCTTCCAACTCTTCGCGTAGCTGTTCCAACTTCGTTGCAAACTCAGCCTCCAGCTTTCGCAGCTTTTCGTCATGACTCTGCGAAAGAGCCTTCATCTTCGCCTCGTGAGCCTCCATAGACGCCGCGACCAGATCTTCCGTCTCCTTCGTGTGCTTCGACGGAAGGTAGCAGAGCGGAGGCGACGCGATCGTGACCAGGAACTTGGATTGGCTTTCGCTCTTTCGGACCGTCTGCAAGTGCTCCAGTTTGGTGCGTGCGATCTGCTCGCTGCGGTCCATCTCAGCACGCGCCACTGACGCCTCCAGTCTCGCCACCTCAGCCTCTTGACGAGCCCGCTTCTCGCGATCCTGGCTCTGCATTTTCTCCCTCTGCTCTGCCTCCTGCTGCTTCGTGTCCTGGCGCTTAAAGAGGTCCGTATCCTTCTCAATCTGTCGCTTCGCCTTGCCCAAGTGGCCCATCAGCGCTCCGAACATGCGCCGACTGCGCGCAATGCCGTCCTTTTGAGCGTACGGTGCCACAGCACGCTGCTTCCGCTCTTGGGCACGCGCATTGTTCGCAGAGGGCGAAGAAACTGAGGTAGAAGTCCTGCTAGTCTCCGTCCTCTCTGTGTGGTGAGCGCCCTCAGGCCTGGACACTGCCGAGTGCAGTCTTTGACGCTTCACTGCGCTGTTCTGGCCATTGTCCTCGTTGTCGCGCTTCCCCAGTCTCCAGGACGCATTGCCCCGAGCATTGTTCTCCTTCAGCTGCACCTGTCGGCCTGCGCCTCCGCCGCGCGCCGGTTCGCCTCCTAGGCGCGCGAACACGCTTCTGCGACCTGCTACTCCCTCTGCTGCTGCTCCGCTGCCTCGACGCTCTGTGGACAACAGCAAAAAGCACAAAAGGCAATGAGCGCAAAGATCGCGACGCAACATGTGGCTTTCCCTGGCCGTCACGCAGCCCAGAAGCTCCTACTAACTACACAGACTGGCAGGGAGGTGGGCAGGAACGCACTTGAGTTGTCGAGCGCCTCGCGCTTCTTGGAGAGCTCCTGCAGCTCGCGGCGCAGCGCGCGCTCGTCCGCCGACTCCGCCCGATCCGCCATCGCTTGGTGGTCGGTCGGTCGGCCTTCGATTTTGGGGGAGAAAAATAAAAGGGTCTCGCCTGTTTAAATGGCTCGGGCCAAGTTTCGCGGGTCCGGTCGAAACTTGGCCGACCCGGCCCACTCCACCCCTCCGCTGCCGCATTTAGTGCCTAAGTAAAAGTGGAGCGTTGCTTTTTTATATACTCTGCTATTGAGAATTTATCGATAGTTTCCAAAATTTCACACTACATAACCGAATATTTACATTTGAGCATTTACAATAGAATATCACCGAAACTATAATATGATGGCCCCGTCTAAGGACCTCTGGTCGAAGGGGACCTTGGCTCTTGTGGTGTCTGCGTTATGGCGCGCTACAGCAATCCTGGCAATCGCAGCATCCCTCGCATCAGCATTAGGTTGAGGTACAGCGCACCGGCGTACGATAAGGTAGCGCTCGAAGTCCTTCACAACCATGTAAAACGCCTGACGTATTAGCCCGATATGACTTGGATGAAAGAGCAGCAATTCCTTCTTCAACTGCTCTAAGTCGTCACGAAAAGGAAACATCAAACCCATTCGTGAGAGGTAGAAGAGCAGCCTTGTCTCCGCGCGCTTAATGGTGCCCTCCGGCGTCCAGTCGGCAAACGGCATATACCAGCGACACACTACACGCCCGTCCGTAGTGCCCCAGATCGTCCAGGTATCTCTCGGTTTGAATACGATGGCTCATGCCCTCTTGGTCGTTCTCACTCATTCACTCATTCCCACCTTGCCGCAGATGAAATGGCCCATTTCGTTTGTGAACTTCTTCAGCGGCGCCAGTTGCAGGAAATACAGACCCTTCGTGGTATTATCATGCTCCCCGTACCTGAGTGCCCCCCCCTCATGTTGTATCGGACACAATACGTCGGCGGGGGTATCTTCGTCGATGGGAGCGTCGAGGAAAACGAGAATCTCCTGCAGCATACGGCGCCCGACTGTATCGATGCTGTAGAGTGCGTGTGTCGCCTGCAGCGAGACCCAGGCTGTGCCCTCGATGTACATGATCTCCTTGAATACGAGCTCCAGCAGCCGTGCAGAATAGCGCCGGGCGGCCCGGCCTTGACGAGAGGCCATTGCGTCCGTTTAGCACAGTCCCATGGAATCAGACATCGAACCGACCCATACAAACTCAAAGGCTTTCTAAACTGTCAGGCCGATAGCCAAGTCTAAATTCGGTATGCCGGCTAAAACCGGCAGTTAGGTGTTTGAACTGCCTCCTTCTTTTGGCAAGACCCGGCGGGAGGCGTATGCAAGGCCTTCCGGATGAAATCCGTCAGAACTGCATCTGTCACGATGCATACAAATCCCTTGTTGATTGCCGAATCTGTAGGCCAAAAATGACTCGATCTGTGTACGAAAAACGGGTTTTCGACTGGGTTCCGTCGGACCTGCAATAACGCATTTTTACTTACGGTACATGCTGTATCCTAGGTGTAATATATATTTCTGACGGTAAGTTATAAGTCGAAGCGACACTTCAAGCAATGGCGGCGTCGAGCGGAGCTGCTGGAGACGACCCCGTGGCCAAGGCGCTGGAGCGGCTGCGGCTGAGGAAGTCAGGAGGACTTTCAAGCGGAGATCCTCTCGATGCATCTGCGGCGGTGACGCGGCTGCCGACGTCGACGCCCGCGGCGCAGCCTGCCGCCGGATTCCAGGTCATCTGCTCGGGTCAAGTGGAGAGCGTGCACGTATGTGCGTCGATAGCCTGGCATTAGTGAGAGTATTGCATTGAAGGTGACAACCTAACTTATAGCTGTGGTTGGCACGCTTTCACGCTCTTAGTACCCGGGCGTGACCAACGTGTACTGCAGATATACCATTACCTACGGCGTTGACTGGCGCGTACTTCACGTAAGTCTCCTTTGCAATCGCTGACATCTTTGGCGAGTGCACGTGGCTTACCTAGCCTTCTTCTGCCTTACAGGGGGCTGAGAATGGACTCTCACAGATCGCGTACCTGGCCAGCCACGAGGACGAAATCTTGCTCAACTTCCCCATCGACGTGTCGTTCAAGAGCACAAACCCGTTCGGCTGGCCACGACTTGTGCTAAGTGTGTACGGACTTGACGCATTGGGCCGTGACGTTGTGCGTGGCTACGGATCCGTCGCGTTTCCAGTAATGCCAGGTTGCTCCGTGCGCGAGGTGCCGCTGTTTCGCCCGCAGTCGTCTTCAGTGATGCAGCAGTTCGTGGCGTGGCTAACGGGCTCGCCGCCTGAATACTTCGACTCCAAGTTCGTGGCGCAAGGCGATAGCCGCGAGGTAACGCGTGTCACTTCCGCAGGCAAAGTCCGCGTGGTGCTCAACGTGGCAGCGCATGGGATGAAGCAACACGGATACACATAGCGAGAGATGCATGTCTTATCATTTCTCAGTGGTTAATGATGCAAGTTGCCATACAAATCAAGTGCACACACCCAAGCCTAAAGACCTACGCGCTGCAAACTTCTGTCTAGGTGAGAAGTTTGCCCACGAAGATACCCACCAAAGCTCCTTAGCACAGTCCTTCACGCGCCATCTCGGACATGCGCTCTGACAAGCGCTCCTTAATGATCTTTCGGCGCTTGCGGAACGATGTGCGCTACGTGGCAGCAACAGTTGTGCATACAGCAACGTCGTTAGCCGGATTGTCAGCGTATACGACATATCAACAGACAGCGTCTCAACTTACCAGGCGGCCCTCCTTGCTGAATAGCTCGAGGAAGCTGTGCTGCATGTCATCGGCTTTGCTGATCCACTTGTGTACGAAGCCGTCGACATCGTTGCGGACCTTGTCTACTGCCATGTCAAACTTGATACTCTTCTCCTTGATAAATGGCACGTTCATATCCTTGCCAGTGTAGCCGCGCTGCAGGTTACGACGGATGAACGTGTCGTACTCGGCAATGATGCGGATGATCAGGTCCGACGTGGAGATACCGTCCGTCCGGCGCGTCTCCAGGAACTTGCCCATAGCTTTAATGCGCGCGTACACGTCACCCTCAGACGCCTCACCAGACGCGTCCGAGTACGGCAGTGCGTCGTGGCACACGTAGTCGATCTTGTGCTTCTCCAGAAAGTCGTCGGACAGCACCCAGGGTGCGTCCTCCACCACTTCGTCCACCCACTTGCAGTGGCGCAGCGACTCGTAGCGCTCCTTGTCCGTCATGACCGTGCGGCCCTTGAGCTTGTGCGTGATCTCATCGCTGCAGCAGCCGACGATCAGGTACGTGTTGGGGTAGGCCTCCTTGCACTGCTGCAGGGCCTTGGCGTGTCCGAAGTGGAAGAGGTCGAAGATGCCGTCGGCGTAGAGGCGCAGGGGGCGGCCGGTCAGCGTGCCGGGCTCGCCCTCTTTCAGCTTCTTGCGGTAGGGCTCCGGCTGCGGCTCGGCCTCGCCCTCCTGGCTGCTGACGCTGTTGTCGTCGTTGACGTCGCCCGTCTCGGGCTTGGTCTCCTCCTCCTCGGCGGACGCGGCGGGGGAGCGGTGGTCGGCCTCGGCCTCCTCCTCGTGGTTCATCTCATTGGCACGTCTCTACATATCGAATCCCCACACCCCAAAGTATCAGTCGATGCGGCCAAGCTTAGACCCAACGGATCTCCGAGCCTCTTGAGCCGGAAATCTTCGAGCTGCTCCACACTTCGTCTCGGGAGATCGCAGTGGGGGACACGCACCTTTCTCGCCATCTCGCTGTTACTAAGTAGTCCGTCTGGTTCTTTTCGGTCGAAAACTCCACTGCCTGACACGCGGGCCACGTCGGAAAAATTATGCAAGTACTGTATCCACCTCGCTTAAATACGTCAAAGTACCGTGATTCGTCAGTTATTGTTCGAGTGCAAATGTGACGCGCCATGCATCGACTTCAACTTGTTATGCCGTTCGACGATCATGCCGATGACGCCGCCGACAGCGACGCCACGCGCGTGCTGCCCGAGTAGAGCTTGTGCGGCACGTTGGCGAGCTGGTTGCGCTCCGAGGCCACCGCGGGCTGCACGAGGATCGGCACCTGCCACTGGAAAGTCTGCCGCTGCGGGGCGGAGCCGGACTCGCCTGGAGGCGGCGGGGCGCCTGCCGAGAACTCGAAGCGGAGTAGCCACTGGAAGCGCACCAGGTCCGTCCGGATGCTCGGCAGCGCGTCGTGCGGGATACTGAAGCGCACGTTCGTCTGCAGCACTCCGAGCGTGTGCTCGCGGAAGGTGCCAAACACCTTGGACTGCACCACGCGCTCCGGGTCCAGCGCCATCGCCGACAGAGTCTCTTCTAGACACAGCGTCGCCGACACCTCGTAGCACGGGATGCTGGCGCGCGTGAAGTCGAACACGCCCAGCAGCACCTCACCCGGCTGGTAGAACTGCTTGGTGAGCAGGAAGCGCACGAGGTGACTACTGTCCTTGCCAATCGTAAAGATGCTCGTCTGCGCGCGCTGCATCTGCTCCGTTTCCACCCGACCATGCATGAGCGAAGGCCGCAGCTCGAACGCGATCTCGCTGCCCTTGCGCACTCCGACGGGTTGCGGGGCCAAAGACAAACTGCGGTCCAGCCGCCCGACGCGAGTAGTTCCGCCCACAACATGCGCCTTCTTAGGCGCGGTCTCGCCATTATTGTCGGCAGATCCTGCACTGTTGTCGGTCTTGCCTTGACTCGCCGCGAGATGGCTCGCACTTGCCACCGTGTTGGCCTCGAAAAAGTACTCGGACCCATACACCTCGAACGGCAAGTGCACCGACACTGGCTTGCTCCCCGCCGCGGCACATTGCGCCGTGATGGAGACCACATAGAAGACCTTGGAGGACGAGCCGCGGAACGTCGGGCAGATGTTGTCGGGCAGTGCAATGGCGAACTCGCGCGTGCAGCGCTCCGCTGTCCCCTCCTTCGCAGCCTCCGCTGCAGACACGGGGTCAATAGTGCCGTGGCCCTTCGCAGCAGCGGCCTCGAGCTCGGACTGCGTGGGCGCGATGTTGATGTCCGAGAGCAGCACCGACGGCGCCGAGCGGAAGATGCACGTGCCCGTGTCCCCGGAGAAGTTGCGCACGTCGGGCAGCGCCGCGCCCATCTTGTCGAACAGCACCACGTCCTCCGACAGCTTCCGCTCCAGCTGCGCGCGCTCCTCCTGCGACGCGGCGCGAGGCGACTGCACGTGCACCACGGGCAGCGTCAGGAGGTTGCTGTCCACGGTGACGTGGCCGTGCACCTGCGCCACCACATGGGCGATCTCCGACTGCGCGTCGGCCTTCTGCTGGTCGCTGACTAGACGCACCACCCCCTTGACGACGCCGCCGGGCCGGAAGTGGCGGCTCGCTAGCCGGGCGACCAGCACGCTCCCCTCGCCAGGCTGCGCGACGTGGTCGATCGTCATGCTTTCTGAGCTTTCGGCAAGTGATGGCCGATGGTGTGCCGCACACCAATGTTGAAGTGGGCCTCGTCCTCAAACCACATCGAGATGGACGTTGGAAGAAGGCGTCGCATTCGGCCTCTCCCACCAACGACAGCCCCGCTGCGGCTGTCGCTGATAAGAGCCCCGCACTCGGCGGCGCGCGGGTGGGTGCCTACATCATCCCATTTAGTATTCTTCCCGGCTACGAACACGACAATCAGAACAAAGACACAGCATGGCTCCGGTAAGGTTCTACACCTTCAACGCAAGGCTCTTGGGATAACCCCCATTCTAACCAATTCCGCTTGACTACTGCCATAGCAGACAGACAGCAACATGAACAACGAACCTGCCAAGCCGGAGCTTGTGAGCTCTGACGGGACGAGCGCAACCAGCACCGAGTCCTCAAGCTCCGCGCCGTTCCGCAAGATGCTTGTCGAAGGGGAGCCTGGCACACTGACCGGGCGTCCTCTGCGTCTCTACGCCGACGGCATCTTCGACCTCTTTCACTTCGGTCACGCCAAGGCCCTGCAGCAGTGCAAGGAGGCCTACCCCAACACGTACCTGCTCGTTGGCTGCTGCAACGATGAGATCACGCACAAGCTCAAGGGCCGCACGGTCATGACGGACAAGGAGCGCTACGAGTCGCTGCGCCACTGCAAGTGGGTGGACGAAGTAGTAGAAGATGCACCCTGGGTGCTGTCCGACGACTTTCTGGAGAAGCACAAGATCGACTACGTGTGCCACGACGCACTGCCGTACTCGGACGCGTCTGGTGAGGCGTCTGAGGGTGACGTGTACGCGCGCATTAAAGCTATGGGCAAGTTCCTGGAGACGCGCCGGACGGACGGTATCTCCACGTCGGATCTGATCATACGCATTATCGCCGAGTACGACACGTTTATCCGTCGTAACCTGCAGCGAGGCTACACGGGCAAAGAGATGAATGTGCCGTTCATGAAGGAGACGGGCATTAAGATAGACATGGCTGTGGACAAGGTGAAACAACGCATTACGGACCTTTTCGGCCGAAAATCCGAGCGCTTCCACCATCGCCAATCAGTGTAAACGCTGCGCATCCTCTCTGCAGTGGGAATGCCAGGCTAGAGCGCGAGAGGTAACGAAATATATGGCGAAATCATCGCTCTTCAATCCGAATACGCACTTGAGCCTTTCATTATTATCAAAGTCCGTTGACCTCGTGTACGACTCGCTGAACCTTTTTCGCTGATGCTGCAGCAACTAGCAATGCTTGAAGTCCTGCAATGCACAGCACATAGTCGTCAGCGAAAGTATCTCGGGCACTTCAACCCAATTACAACAGAGCCTTACCGCTTGAGAACTGCTTTTGCGCCTGGCGAAGGTCACTTGGTGGCAACGAGCTAAACCAAAGCAGTGTGTCCGCAGTGGGTCTTGCAGAACTACTTGCTACAACTTCAGAGTCTTTCTCCTCTTTGGTCTTTCCTGCTCTCCGATGATGCAGCGAGCTTCCTTCCCTCTCGCCGTCGACTGTGTCAGCTGCGTCTCGGAGTTGCCAGTTCCCCTCGGAGTCCAGCGTCACGACCCGAGACGCCTCAAACTCCTCGTGGTATGAGATCTCACTCAACGCATGCTCCGGAAGCCGCAGTCTAGCCTTCGTCAGCTTCAGAAAACCCTGCGCAATTGCGCACCAAATACAACGTCAATATCGTCTCTACAGACCGTGCAGTTGCCGCAGCAAGCATGACCTCACCTGTTTGAGCTTGGTACACGCGATCTCGTGCTCGTTCAGGTACTCCTCCAAGGATTCCACGCCCTCCACGAGCAGCTTGTCCGCCTTCATCTTCGTGCTCCGATCTTCCAACTTGGCGCCCCTTAGAAAAGTTGGGGGGGGAATTCTATGTACCCCACCCCCCCCCCACCCCCCCAACTTTTCTATAGAAAACGGCTGATATGAAAATGTAGCCATTAGAAGTGTAGCCATTTCTTTATCTGATCAATTCTTTAACTGAAACAGCGTATTTGACCGAGCGAACTGGGTCATTTATAGAGGTGTGACTGTAGCCACTTGGACGACGTCATCCCTTCGTGTAGCAACATGTCGGCGGCGCGCAGGCAGATCTCGCAGGAGACGTTCGACGAGTGCGTGGCCGAGAATGTGGAGGAGTTCGACATGTCGCTAGAGGAGGCGGTGGCCGACGCCGTGCAGCAGTTCGGGTCGCAGGGCGTGGACCTGTCCAACATCATCAAGAGCGGCGCGGCGCAGTCGGCCGACGGGCAGGAGCCGCTGCCTGCGCGGCTGAAGCGGCTCATCTCGGAGCTGCAGGAGCTTTCCAAGCTCAAGAGCGAGCAGGATCAAGTGCTAAACCTCGTTACCGAACTGCAGAGCGTCTGTGAGGAAGTTCCTGAGGCTCGCGTGGTGGCAGGACGCAACGATGCGGTGGATACGCTGCTGGCTCTGCTGGATTCGGACGCGGCCGCTGTGGTGGCGTCTTGCAGCAATTTGTTGGCGCTGTTGTGTGCAGACAGCACAGACAACCAAGACTTCGTTGGCGTTGCCGGTATGCAGCGACTTGTGGAGGTCGTGAGGCGTCAGCAGGAGGACGTGGACACTTTGGTGCGAGTGTTGGTGCTGGTGAAGGCAGCGTGTGTCAAGCACGAGGGCAACAAAGCGCACTTTACAAAGGCAGGTGGAGCCGAAGCACTGTGCGGGTATTTGGAACGAGCTAAGGACAACGATATGCTGTCCAAGCACTTGGCGCTGTGCTTCCGAGTGCTCACTATCAACGACGACCCGCGCGCGACGTTCTCACAGGCGCAGGATACCATCAAGGCCCTCATCGAGCGCGACATCATCCCGTACAGCTTAGAGGTGCTACGTCTAGTTGGGAGGAGCGATTCGACAGCACAGGAGTTGAACGCATCGCCTGATCTACTTGTGAACTGGCTTGCAGTGCTCAAGCAACTTGCCGTGACGGAGGAGAACTGCCAGCAGATCGCAGATCTGGACGGATTGACCACCGTGCAAGAAGTCATGCAGGCTTTCGAGCACAGCGCGCCTGTGGCCAAGCGCTGCATCACGGTTTTCAGGAATGTATCAGCGGCGGACGATCTAAAGCGCGCGATTCTGCAGTCTGGAGGCGTGGAGCGGACATTGCTAGTCATGCAGCGGCATGAGGCAGATGCATCGATTCAGCAGAACGCTTGCGCCACGCTAGCTGCAATTGCGCTCCGCTCTCCAGAAAACAGTCGCGCGCTAGTCGAGCTCGGGGCAGTCCGGCAAATCTCGCGCGCCATGCAGGCTCACCGTCGTGACGTAGCTGTGCTGCGCCAAGCAAGTCTGGCCGTGCGCAACATGGTAGCACGGAGCGTGGAGCTGCGCTCACGCTTCCTGCAAGACGAACCAGAAATCGAGCCGCTGCTTCGTGAGGCACAGCAATACCGCGGGTGCGGCGATGAAGCCTACGCAGCGCTCCGTGACCTGGGCTGCGATATTCAGCTGTCTTCTTTCGGTGCGGCTGCGGCCTCTGCTGCCGCCTCCGGATCCGTCAAGGCACCCATGCTCAAACCGCGCTTCAACCCTGTCCAGGTCCAGTCCAACCAGTTGCTCGACAGCGTCGAGGAAGCTGCGGAAGCACCGTTCGCCCAGTAGACTCAACGACAGCAGTTAGTCAGAGAGTATTGTTCTCTTCTTTCTTTCTTTCTTTCTTTCTTTCTTTCTTCTCCTTTCGTTTCATGCACCTGCCTATTCCCGACCTAGATCTCATCACGGCTGTCCTTCCCTCGTATATATGCACTGCCCCCAGCTTTGTCCTGTTACCCCCTCTCATCATCATCGTCATCATCGCTCGTGGTCTGCAGGCCGCGCTTCGTGGCATTCTTCCAGTCAGTCACGCACGATGCAAAAGTTGCCCTGGGTCATGCCGGCTTGGAGCGGGATCAAAAGAAACGAGAGGCATAGCATAGCACCGGCCTATTCCTGCACCAGGCCCCGCATCACAGCGCAAGAGATAGCTCCTTGCAACAGTGCACTACAACGCCGCGGCACGGCGCGTCCGACGAGCGAGTTTTTTTTATGCGATCGCCTGCCAGCTCTGCTCGACGATCTCGCGCACGCGACGGTTGTACTCCCGCCGGTTCTCCTGGAAGAGGCGTGCGGCCTCCGAGTTGGCCGGCGAGTTCGGGTTGGGATCGCACAGCAGCGACTGGATGGACGTGAGGATAGCCGAGATGTCGTAGATCGGCGACCACTGGTTCTGCAGAATGTCCAGGCAGATCTGGCCGTCGTTGTAGACTGCAGCAACAGCGACAAAGAATTAGTCAGCCATAACGCATCTCCACAGCCTGGTGACAGCCACGTACTGTTGGGGTGGAACATTTTAGTGATGAACTTGACGGTCGGCGCCTTGTTCGGGTAGTCCTCGCTGAACTCGAGCGTCAGGTTGAAGGTGCCGCCTTCCCAGGGAGTGTCGTCCGGTCTGTCGTGGAGAACGTAATGCAGGGTTAGCGCCACTGAGTCGACTATAGAGCGCTACAGTTCGGTAGGTAGTCCTCGCTGGTCGTACCCGAAGATGACGGCCTGCCAGAGCATGATGTTGTTGTCCATGGGGGCGCCCGACACGCCCGAGGGCGGGTCGTTCTGCAGCTTGCGGAAGTCGCGCATCAGTCGTCGGCGTGCGGCGGTGGACATGGCGGCAGGAAGAGGAGCGCGACGAGGAGAACTGTGGCGCCTTCGGACTTGGTGGCTCTGCTCGACCTTCTACTGTGACAGAGAATGTCGAGGAGCTTCCAGAAAGAAGCTGGGTTTCCCCTGTGGAAACGGATACGCGGGTGGCTCACACTAATCTGGTGTATAGCACATATTTTCCTACAGTAGTTGAAGTATCTTTTCGCGCCCTTTGGGTCTAAAAATAAAAAGGATCCGGACGAGCGCAACCGTTCCTTTTGATTGGCAAAGTGACAAGCTTGACGAGTCTACCAGCCCCAGCGGGCTCATGTCGACGGAGCGCCTAGTGCCCGGCGATGGCCACAACCTCGTGGTGCTGGCCAGGCTGGAGGCCACCGGCATGAAGACCGTGAGCGGCTACTCGTCCGCGTACGACGACGTGTTCCCGACAGCGCTGGACGGGATCAGTACGTGGGGCCGTATCTTAGACCTCGGTTTGTTGCAGTGATGTGAGGTCGGCGCTTACAATGAAGTGGCGCGTTGCATCGGTGTCTGTTGCGCGTAGTATCGAGGAGGGAGTTCAAGTTTTGCGTCGACGTGCTCAACCAGACCGTGGAGGACTACTTCCCGTGCCTCCCATGCTACGGCTGCGGATATTTATGGTGCTTTACAACGTGCGGGATCTCGCTCTGCTTCTCAGAGCCGTGCACCAAACAGGTACGGGCGCCTCAATGGCATCGACTTTGTTAGCGCGTTGAGCTGAGCTGCGACTGCTCTATGATTTAAACTGCTTTTATTGCTACTGCAGCTCTCAGACAACCTGGAACTGGTGCTGCGTCGACTAAACAACCGGGAAGAGCTGCTGTATCGAGGTGTCGTGTGGAGTCTCAAGCGCTGTCAGCGGACACACACATCCTGGATAGAGATCGCGCAACTTGTGTACGAATGAGTCACTCGGAGTGACACCGGGTATCGGGTACCAGATTTCGCTTTGCACGCAGGCAATTCACCAAGCAAGCAGGGCAAGTACAAGTTCACAGTCACGAGAGTGCGTCACGTCAGAAGTCATCCAATAACATTACGTAGTGTACAGCAACGGCATACTTGTGTCACAGTCATCTATGCTTGCGCCTTGGTGCATCGTGGCTGCGTCTCCACTTCTTCTCTCTATTGTCCCAAGCTCTATGTTTCTCTATCTGTATCCGGCCTGAAATCGATACAAAGAGCACGCAAGAACAGCGTCAGTGTGGGCCGAATGAGATCAACAGCAAACAGCGACAGACAGAGCTATTCTACTGTTCAAGAGATTTCTTGATTGTCTTACCATGCAAATAGGAGGCGCGAATCCTCCTATAAATATATACGAACCTGAGTGTCTGGTGGCCCTCCTCCTTGTTTACTTACGAGTTCTTCTACGTCTCCGCACACTCTCGTTGCCGTATCGCCTCTCTTGGCGCCGCGGTCAGCTGTCGTCTAAGTCATCACCACTCCCTCGAAGAGAACCACGCGGCTCTTGTTCAGCTCCTTGCACACCTTCTTCACGCTCTTCTCGCCGATCATCGTAACGTCGCTGATTTCCTGGATAGACCGCTTCGAGTTCGTGTACGCTGCCACCAAGTAGATCACCGACGCCGCCACTGCAACCGGGGGTTGCCCGTTCGAGAGCTCCAGGCTATCTGCTTTCTTCGCCACCGCGTGCGCAATCATCTGTGTCTTGTTCGGCAGACCCAGCCTCGAGCAGAAGCGCTGCACGTACTCTTCGGTCGACGCCTGCTTCACCTCAAGATCCAGTCGCCGCTGCAGGCTCATGAAGGACTTGCCGATTCGTCGCTTCGGCACTCCAGACGCTTCTTCAAACTCCTTCAACGACCGTGCATTGCCTGCCTTTCTGCACGCGATAAACAGCACTGCGACCGCCATGCTCTCCCGTTCCGGCCCTCGCATGTTCACACCCTGCTTCTCCGCTTCCGCGTACACGTCCAGCGCAATCTCCACAATGTTCTTGGGCAGCGACAAATAGTCTGCCACCTCTTGGATGCGCGCCATGTTGCGCTGCATGCGCCTGACCTTGGCGCTATCGGACGAAATGTTCGGCCGCTTGTGTTTGTGCCCGGGCTCGCCGTCAGCGCCCCCGCCGCTCTTCTTCGTGTCGACCAGGTACGTTGACAGTGAGAGGCTGTTCAGCCGCGCGTCCGCGACGTCGCCAACTCTGGATTTCGCAGCGGGGTCACCACCCCGGTCATCATTAGCAAACGTTCGCCATTCGGGGGAATCATCTATAATGCGCTCACCGAGGATCATGCCGCAGCTGCGGCACACGACGTCGCCCGCGCTGAAGTCCGTCACGACGTCCGCACTTCCGCACTCGCGGCAATGATCCGGCACGCACTCGCCTCCCATAGTCAATCACTGGCTGAAGAGGTCAGCCCAGGGAGGCCAATAGACTTTTGTTTGGAGCTTGTAGAGAACTCCAAACACGGTCAATGGAGAATCTTCGGGGTGCGATCGAGAGAGGAGGAGCTGGAGAATCTAATGCGCCCTCTTCCCGATGGATACGCGTCTGCTAGCCACACCCACGCGACGTCTAAGCTGCACTCGAATGCCGCGCTCCTTGGTCGTGTCCGCCGCCTTGTGAAACTACTGCGATCCACCGACCTGAAAAACCTCGTGAGCGAGGTTATTTTGTGGAAACAGTCGATTTGTCAGGATTTCGTGTGGACACATGACATTTATTACCTTGCAAAGGATCTACGATAGTCGCGACACGAAGCAGCACCATGCGCTCGGCTCGAGGCAGCTCGCAGCCCGTCACGACACCCACGAGGAACATGTCGGCACCACTGCAATATCAACTCGTTATCGACACTCTTGCGATCAGGAGGAGCCTCCATTCACTGCAATCCGAGCTGTATAGCACGCGCTGAAGGCGGGTTTCTTCGTTCCGCCGCGCTGCACCACGCTGGCTCGCCTCTCCACGCGTATCTTGTCCCTCCTGCAGCCTCTAGAACTTGAATCCCTTCTTGGTCAGATCTGCCTTGGCCTCCACTACTTGCCGGTCGAGCTCCTTGGCCGCCTCGGGGAAGTCCTGCACCGCCATGACGGACAGCGCGATCACAGCCAGCGAGTACGCGCCGAAGGACACGAGCGCGTACATGGGCAGCGCCGTCACCACCTGCACCATGCGCGGGTCCTGCACGGTCTCGGTCGCGTACCGCAGCAGCAGAAGCCACAGCGCCAGCAGCACGACGAACGCGGCGAGCCACTTCTGGTACTTGAGCATCGCAATGGCTTTTTCTATGTGGTCGCCGGTCTTCAATAGGGCTCGATCGCGGTGCAATCTTTCCGGGACGGAGACGATTTTCCAGCTCGCTGATTCGCTGAAATGGCATTTTCCGAATTAGATGGTCCCAGACGGTCTCCATTTTCCAAGTTTACCCCCAACTAGTCGTGGCGAGCCTGCAGCCGATGCAGGAGCCCGCGGCCTTCCTGCCAGAGCCTCCGCTGCCGGTCGACGCCAGTGCCTTGGTCGAAGCGCAGGACGAAAAGGTGATGGGCCGCCGCAAGCCCAACATGACGGACGAGGAGCGGCTCAAGATGGCCGACTTCCTGCTCAAGCACAGCCAGGGCGAGACGCGCCTGCCACGCGCGGTCATCACCGCGGCGGCGGACAAGTACAATGTGCATCGCAACACCGTGTCGCGCGTCTGGAACCTCATGAAGGTGGCGCTGGATGCCGGCGCGTCCACGGACGTGGTGATGAAGCAGGTGCTGTCCAAGAAGCGCGGCAACTGCGGCCGCAAGAAGAAGGACTACTCGGCTGCGCTGGAGCGCGTGAAGCAGCTGCCGCTGAACCAGCGCGGCTCTCTGCGTGCGTTGTCGTCCGCTGTGGGCGTCCCGCGCACTACGCTCTTCCGGCTACTGCGAAATGAGGACGGCGTCACCACCACCACCACGGACAGCCAGCAGGAGACCAGCACGGAAGTCAAGCCGACAGTTAACAGTGTGATCAAGCCGGCACTATCCGATAAGAACAAGCGAGAGCGTCTGCGCTTCTGCTTGAGCAAGATGCAGCCGAACGGAGTGTTCGACGACATGCTCAACGTGGTACACATTAACACCAAGTGGTGCTGGCTGCCGAGCAGTCGCGACGCCAAGAAGACGAAAGTGATGTTCCTGGTCGCTGTCGCTCGACCACAATGGGACGATGAGCGCCAGCAGGAGTTCGACGGCAAGGTCGGCGTCTGGCCGTTTGTGGTGGCCGACCCGCCCTTGCCGCTGGGATCGTACGTTCAAGACGTGCTCGCTTGGGACCAAGCTACGGCTCAAGTCGGGCGGGTCTTCCGAGTATTAGAGAACATCACGAAGAAGGAAATCCAAAGTATGATCACAAATTATGTTATTCCGGCAATCAAGACGAAGATGCCAAGGTCGATGCGTCGCGAACCGATCTTCATCCAACTGGACAGTCAGCAGGTGCGGCTTACCCCCGACGACCCAGTGGTGGCGGAGCATGGGAGCGCAGACGGCTGGAATATCCGCGTGCAGTACCAGCCAGCGTACAGCCCGGAGCTAGTTGTGCTTAACCACAGCTTCCTCAAGTGCATTTATCCAGAACCGGTACCACCGCATCTCCGCAGCGTAGCCGTGCAGCTGCCTCCAATTGAAGAGCTCGTCGCTGGCGTGGAGCGCGCTTTCGCTGCACTGCCGAAGCAGCGGATAAACGACGGCTTCCTGGCGTTGCAGAAGACCATGGAGTGTGTCATGACGGCTGGAGGCTCGAACGACTTCGAGTCGCAGGAAGACGTGACCAAAAAGAGTCTGCAGCAGGACGGTAGTTTGCCCGTGAGCGTAGTGTGCAGACCAGAGGCCTTGAGAGCGTGTCAGGCCCTCCTCAGCATTCCGCAAGAGTGAGCGAGCTGCCTTATTTTCAGTTAATGTAGTAGTCTTCTGGTGTGCGTGATTTTGCTTGGTGAGCTGCTCAGCTGGGTTGACGTTGAAGTTGTCTTGTGTGCACCACACAACAGGGGCATGAAATCTCCATTTCGGCCAATCCGGGCCGCAGCCGACTGTTGCGTCCAGTTCGAACTGTCTCCTCCACTCACCATCCGAGTGTCAGAAGAAGAGCATCATGGCGGAGCTTCCTGCGAGTCCCGGCCACGGTTCCGAGCCCATGCCGGAGGTCCTGCTCTCCGTCGCAGAGGCCACCATGGCCGCGGACGCCCAACCGGCGACCACGCACAGCGCGGACAAGAAGACGAGCGCCTGGAAGGAGCGCGGCAGCAGGAACTTGACTTACGAGGAGCGCCGCTCCATGCTCGACTTCCTCATGAAGAGGCGCGTCGAAGGCACCACGAAGCTGGTGCGTCACGCCGTCATGGACGCTGCCAACGAGTTCGGCGTGGACCGCCGCACGGTCTCGAGGCTCTGGAAGCGAGCGGTGCAGAGTCTGGAGAACGGCGACGAGGTGTGCGACATCGCGTCGCGCAAGGTCGGACGCCGCGGCCGCCGGAAGCGCGACTGGTCGGCGGAGCTGGAGCGCGTGAAGGAGATCCCATTGGCCCAGCGTGGATCCATCCGTGCGCTGGCCACGGCTGTCGGTATCCCCAAGACGACGCTCTACGAGCTGCTGAAGGAGGACGGGAACCCGACCATCAACTCGATCAAGCCGTCGCTCACGGACAAGAACAAGCTGGAGCGGCTCCGATACTGCTGCAGCAAAGTGCGTCCTAATGGACTTTTCGACGATATGCACAACGTTGTGCACATCAACATGAAGTGGTTCTCGCTGCCGAGGGACAAGAAGACTAAGGTCATGTTCATGACAGCGGTGGCTCGACCGCAATGGGACCCGCAGAAGAACGAGTACTTTGACGGCAAGATTGGCACGTGGCCTTTCGTGAGAGAAGAATTGCAGGTGCAAGAAGCGGATATGAAGCCGTCGCAACAAATTCCTGAACGAAAGTTTGTCGCCCTGGAGTCGGTGACCAAAGATGACGTGCAGCGAATGATCACGGAACTGATCGTTCCTGCTATTCGACATACAATGCCAGCCCACCTCATGCAAGGCGCAATCTACATTCAGCAAGACAGCGCGAAGATCCGCACTTCGGGCGATGCGGTGTTCGCGGAAGAAGGACGCAAGGAAGGCTGGAACATACAGATGCAAAACCTGCCGCCGTACTCCCCAGACTTCACCGTGATGGACAACAGCCTCTTCAAGCCAATCCAAGCAGCACTGAAAATGCCGCCGCCTCCTACACTGGGAGCATCGGTATCGGGGCTCACCGAGCTAATGTCTGGCGTGGAGCGAGGATTCGCATCGCTGACAAGGGACAAAATAAACGATGCGTTCCTGACGTTGCAAAAGGCCATGGAGTGTACGATGCGAGTGCAAGGGTCGAATACGTACGAGCTTGGACCCACCGGCAAGGAGCAGCTCCAGTTCATCGGCAGCCTGCCTGTAAGTATATTGTGCGACCCCGATGCCATATCGGCATGCAGAGCAGTGCTCGATGAGGCTACCGATGAAGTTCTTGAAGTTCTTTAACGACCTGCTATCAAGTGCTAGTACTACTACGTAGTATGGGTGCAACCAAATCCATGTACTTTTATCGGTATACTTTCGGGACATCGCGACTGCAGGCTTGTCATCACGTTTATCGTTGTTACCAGGCACGCGATCACTATCCTTTATGCAACAAACTGAGCGCCCAGGTTCCACGCGATGAAGGCAAACACCTCGGACGTCTCCTCGATGATCTTGGTGGTGGGTTTGCCAGCTCCATGGCCAGACTTCGTATCAATTCGGATAAGTAGAGGGTTGGTCTGCGCCTCCGAGTTGCCGAGCTGGTGTTGCAGTTCCGCAATGAGCTTGTACGAGTGCAGGGGCACAACTCGGTCGTCGTGATCGCCCGTAGTCAGCAGAACCGACGGGAACCCACCACGCTCCGCGAGCGTTTGCATGATAGAACTGCCAGCATGTGGCACGTTGTGCACTGGCGAGTAGCGGCGAATGTAGTTGAAGTCGTCAGCCACGTCCGGGTCACCATAGTCCGTGCGCCACGCGTGTCCAATGGTGAACTTGTGGAAGCGCAGCATATCCATGACGCCCACAGCCCCCACGGCGCAACGGTAGAGATCGGGGCGCTGATTACTGGTGGCCGCCACGAGCAGACCTCCGTTGGATCCACCGTGGATGGCAATCTTCTCCGGGTTCGTGTAGCCCTCCTTGATAAGGTACTCAGCAGCGCCGTGGAAGTCATCGAACACGTTCTGCTTCTTGTGCAGCATTCCGTCCTGGTGCCACTGCTCGCCGTACTCACCACCGCCGCGCAGATTGGGCAACGCCAGCATGCCGTTAAAGTGCTGGACGAACACGAGTCGCGACACACTGAAAGCCGGCGTGAGCGAAATGTTGAAGCCACCGTAGCCGTACAGGTACACAGGCAAGTCGCCATTCTTGGGTGCGTCCTTGCGCTTCACGAGGAACATCGGGATCTTCGTGCCGTCCTTGGACGGGTAGAAGACTTGTTCCGCCTCAAACTGGCTTGGATCAAATCCGTTCACCTTGGTCTCCCGGAAGAGCTCGGCAGGAGGAGCCGAGCCCGGGGTTGACTTGGCCAGGTCAACGCGGAAGATGGATCCCGGGTAGAGGAAGGAAATGAAGTGGTAGAACAGCTCCGACTCCGTGCGTTTGCTGGCCACTCCGACAGTGCCCACACTAGGCAACGGGATCTCGTACTGGAACACGCCGTCCAGGTTGTACACGTGGAGCTCGTTATGGACGTCCTTCACGAGCTGCACGACCAAAAGGTTCGGCGCCACGGGGTGGACGCCTTCGATCACGATAGAGTCCGGCTGCTCTGGGATCACTTCTTCCCACACAGGCGTAGCGCTGCCGTCGCCCAGCTTGGTGCGCACCACACGCTCGCGCGGGGCGTTCGCATTGGTCTTGAAGTAGTAGTAGTCTCCGTCATTCAGAATGTACGAGTACGCCGAGTCCATGTTGTCCACAAGCTTGATAACTGGGATGGTTGAGTCACTCGGTCCCTTTAGGAAGTTGTCAAAGTCGCTCAAGTCAGCGACGTGGATCATGTTGGCGTTCTTGCATCCATCCTGCACGTACAGCAGCAGCTTCTTGCCATCATCGGAGACCTCGGCGCCCACGTTGAACGTGGGCTCGCTCGGGTACGCATACACCAGCTTGTCCTGCGACTGCGGCGTGTGCAGCGTGTGGTACCAGAGCTGGTGGTTCATGTTGGAGTCCGTCTCGGTGCCTCGCTTGGGGCCTTCTTCGTCGTCGTGCTTGTCGTCCTTCATCTTCTCCGGAGGCGGGTACCTCGAGTAGAAGAAACCCTTGTCGTCATGGGTCCAGGAGATGCTGGAGAACTTGACCCACTCCACCGTGTCGTCCAGGATCTTGTTGCCGTCGTGCACGGCCATGACCTTGATGGTCTGCCAGTCCGAGCCCCCGCGCGAGATGCCATGGGCGAAGAACAGCTTGCCGTCGCCAAGCTTGGCCTCCGAGAAGGCGCGACTGGAGAGAGCAGCCGTGCCGTCCGCCGCCAGGAGGTTGGGGTCCAACAGCACGCGCGGCTCGCTGTGCAGCTCGCCCTGGATGTAGAGCACGCTCTGGTTCTGCAGCCCGTCGTTCTTGGAGTAGACGTACTTGCCCCCGTACTTGCGCGGTGCCGAGAATTTCTCGTAGTTGAAGAGCTCCGTCATACGCGCCTTGGTCTCGCCCACGAACGGCACCTGGCTGAACACGCGCTGCGTCACGTCGTTCTGCTTGGTCACGAACTCGCGCGTCTCGGGCGAGTCCGGGTCCTCCAGCCAGCGGTACGGGTCCGCCACCTGCACGCCGTGCAGCGTCTCCACCAGGTCGCCGCGGCGCACAGCCGGGTACGTCAGCTTCTCGGCCACCAAGCCCGCAGTCTTCATCGCCTTCTTCATCCGGGAGCAGATCTTGCAATGAGACGCACTTGAAGAAGTACGTCGGGAATAGTGACATGAATAGTGACATAGTGGGACGATCAGCAATTACTTGAACTCAGTATGAATACATTTCGACAATGAAAACACACACTCTCGAAATCGCAAGGGTGTCGATCCTCGCAGGATGTGGAACCAGGCACTGCGGCGCGTCGTGCACGCCGAGGAGCGGCAGCAGGAGGAGCGACGGCGGCAACAACTAGCGCAGGCTGCTGCCGCTGCGTCTTCCGCGTCGAATGGTGAAACTCCGGCCGTGGAAGTCCCCGCAGAAGCTCCGCAATCTGCAGCGGAACGTGAGCAACCCTTGGTATCAGAGCAAGCAGCAGCTCCTGCCTCTTCTAGCGCCGATAACGCGACGCCAGAGGCGAAGAATGAAGCAGCTTACGTGGAAGAGGCCGAGGACGACGACGACTACCTCCAGAAGCACCTACTGTCGCGCCCCACGTCGGCTTGGAGCTGTCTGGAGGACACGCAGCAGGCCAACTGCTTGGCGCTGAACGCGTCGCAGACGCTCGTGGCGGTGGGCGAGCGCGACGGCCGCGTGACCATCTGGGACAACACGACCATCCGCGTGATCACGCGCGAGCTGGACCCGACGCTCATTGCGCTGCCAGCGGTGGAGAATGCCGCCGACGACGACAAGATGGACGGACAGGGGGCAGCAGGTGACAAGGCGGAGGCGAATGGAGCCAAGAGGCGAAAGGTGGACGCAGCAGATGCGGATGGATCCATGGAGAACGACGACGCGTCCGTGGAGGACGATGAGGAGGAGAGGACGGAAGACGCGGCGTCCATCGAGGAGGACGTGGCGACGGAGGAAGACGAGGAGGCGGAGGCGGAAGCAGAGGTAGAGGCGGAAGAGGAAAACAATCACGATGAGAGTGAAGAGACCAAGACGGAAGATGAAGCGGACGCTTCAGGGGGCGAAGCTGTATTGACACTGTCAGATCTTCGTGTGGTGAAGACCGCGCTGAAGGTGGTGTCGCAATGTGCGTGGTCGTGCGATTCGCGGTGGCTGTTCGCCGGCTGCGAGGAGAAGTCGACGCGGCGGGTGAGCCTCGGCGCGAGGCTGTGCGTCTGGAACGTCGAAGCTGCCACACTTGTGTCGGCTTTCCGGTTTGGCGGAACGATCACTTCGTTAAGTTCGCACCCTAGTGACCCGAAGCTGGTCGTTGTTAGTTTTTGGAACTCTCGGCCAGTGCTCTTGGATGTCGTATCTGGAGAACGCAAGGAGCTGGAGAGCGTTCCCATTGAAAACGACCAGCTCACGCAACCAACGCCACAGAACAGCTCACGGCACCCCGCGCTTGCGTCCTGTGCGCGGTATGGTCGTTCTGGGAAGCGCATTTACTGTGCCACATCGAAATCTACGTTGGCTGTGCTGGATGCTGACACGTTGCAGTGTCTTGATAGTCTCAAGCTGAACGTGCTTATCCAGTTCGTGGATCTCTGCGTGAATTTGCGGGAAACAGCGCTGCTTGTCACGAGCTCGAAAGGTATTCATGAATTCGTGTTGGATGCGAATAAGGATGCAGAAGCATCGACTGTAATGGATGGTTCGAGTGAGGAGTCTAACGCCACTGAAGAGCACCCGTTGGGGTTGCGTGAAGTGGCACTTCACTCCACGGGTGCGGTACGCGCGCCTTGGGCTGTATGCTGCTTCAGCGGTGGGGAGGAGTTTGTTGTCGGTACGCCCGTTGTACGTCACCGACATGTTGGAGAGAATGGACTATTCACGTGGCACCGGGCTTCAGTGGTTGGTAAGACAACAGGCCAGCACAATGTCGGGGTAAAAGACGGCGTGCTAGCACTAGCTTGGGACCGTTCCCGACAGAGTGTGCTAGCCGTGTCTACCAGTGGAAATTTTCACGTATTAGAGGAACAGTTCACCACCACCTGGCCTGGGGCAATGTATCCGGCAGGGTTCCGCCTTATTACGGACAACGAACTACATCTAGAAGTGTTCGATCGTGATGCTGAAGAGCGCAAACGAGAGAAGGAAAAGCTTGCCGAGGCTGCGAAGCCAGCCCCCGTTGACGTATTCACCGTCCAGAGCCCGACAGTGGAGTTCCCTGGAGAATGCGACCTTGCCGCTGCTTCGTTACCCAAGAATGATTTCGAAAATCCTCGGTACATTCCAGCTATCCCGATCGCGTACTACCATCGGCGGCATCTGCATTCACTTCAGGGTGGAGTGTACAACGAAGACAAACACTTTGGTCTCGGTCAAAGCGTTTTTGAGCCACTCAAGGGTGCCCTGGGTAAGCAAAAGAAGAGCAGCTCTCGGAAGTCGAAGAGCAAAAAGCGACGGCGCAGATAGACAACAAGGTGTACACAAGAGACTGCGTGCTAAAGAAGAAATAGGTACCCATGATCTGACGCGTAGATCCTGCCGGTCTACCTTCTTCCTTGACGTCCAGGAGATGTTATGTCATGTGCTAGTGCCATCTCCAGCCGTTGAAGGGACTGCGTCAGAGCACAGCTCCGCAAGTCGTTGTCCTTGCCGTTGTGGTCCGTATTCGAGTACAGGTCTTCTTGGCTATTCACGGCACGCCGGAACGCTTCGTTTGAGTGAACACTTTGCGCAGTTGTAAATTTCGAAATTTGCAGCGCTCGGAGCGCCATCAAGTCAACCTGGAGTTTTCGGTGTGCGGGTGTTCTAGGAGGGCTTGCTGGACTGTTTGGGGGGAGTGGTTGGCGAACTGGGGTAAATTCACTGCGGTCGGCGCAATGAGCACTGCGGGGTCCCTCATCCTGTTCATTTCCTGCTTGACTGTCTTCCCGTGACCTCCCTCCTCTTCGTGAAGTATTTAGCACGGACGAAGCTGCGAGATTGTTTCCTGAGACTTCGACACGAACGCATGCTGCCGAAGTAGACGAGTGTCCAGCCCAGCCGCACCGAGAGCAAGCCAGCTTACTACGTCGTTGCGCTGCCAGCGTCAGTCGAACGACGTGTTCCGAGCCTTCTGCTGTGTGCTTCTTGCGCTGAGCAAGCGCTGTGGCTCGCCGCAGCTCGAACCAAGACTTTCGGCTTGCGATCCACTCGTGGATCAGTTTCAGTGATGAAGGCTCCTGTGTCAGAACCATGAGCAAGACTGTCGGAGACAGCGAGTACGCTCGTACCCCACTAGCCGAAGTTACAACGCAATATCTCGCGAAAGATGTCGCCATCTGCAATGCCTCAGTTAGCCCGACTGAATCATGCGCTTGAAGGAGCTCCAGCTCTAGATCTGCCTCCTCTCGCCTCCCCGCGTGCTCCTCGCGAGGAGATCCGAGGGTGAGCTGTCCGGTGATCACGATGAAAACCTGCACTGGCTGGCCTGGCGTGAAGAGGTACTCTTGCCGTGCTACGACAACAGGGCGCAGGTGCGCTGCTAAAAAGCGCCGCGAGGAATCTGCCATGGCTTGGAATAGGAACGTGTTGCGAAGAAACAGCTCTGCTTCAGGGGCGAAAGAGTACGGGAAGGCGGGTGGCAGTCGAGCGGTCCCCTCTTGACGCCGGCACTGGAGCATTTGGAGCTGTTGGGCGACTTGGTACGGCAAGCACAACACGTATGTGACAGCCACCTCGCGCAGACCGAGAAAATTACGCTGGCGAGCAGCACCTGCCGTTGCGGTTGTAAGGAGGTGGTTGAATCCAAATGCAGCAGCATCAAAGCCAAAGCAATCGCCTGCCACAAGTTCTCGTAGCTGAACGACAGGGCGATCACTACACCCGAGCATGGCAGCGTGTATCCTAGTGAGACTTGAAGGTGTCGAAGGCACCTTCGCGTCTCGTAAAAGCATAGGGCGGAACGAGAGCGTGCAGTGCCCATTGAGCAGGAAGTACACGAACGTGCTGCGTGTGACGTTTTGGCTCCCGATTACTTCGCCAGGCACTGCAGACCGCACCGTTGCGTAGCGAAGCATGAGTCGCCAGGACTCGTCACCATCCGCTTTGTTGTCTTCTTTATTGCAATCACGCTCCTTCATCTCCTCGTTTTCTTCATCGACATCATCTAATCGGTCCTGTGAGCCGCTGCATTGGTTTACCGACTCAATGCACAAGGTCGCTGAATCTGGTCGAAGTGCCCCCTGCACCCTCGTGGGCTGTGCACGGATCAAACATAGCGACTGGAGCGTCCGTACGAGATGAGGAAAGTGTTGCAGCAACCACTGCCGGAACTCCGACACCGCAGCCGGATCTTCTCGTCGTTTGCTGCTTGCCTCGGGGTTCTGCAGCAGCAGTTTGAAGCTCTCGGACTGGCTGAAGGGGTCGAACGCAACCGATTCCAGTACCGCCCGACCTCGAGGGGTAGCGCCAACTCCTGTGATCGACACGCGCGGGCGAGCGGGGGCTATAGCCGTGGGTTCCTCCGCCTTTGCCTTTGAGCCATCAGGCGTAGAGGAAGAGGACGCTCGAGCTCTTGGCAATTGCACAGGCGCCAGCTCATGCGTCCTCAAGCGATACCGACCGTTCGGCGTCGTTAGCGCTGTGACTGCTCGGCCATCGGTTGGCATGCTCTAGAACGTGGAAAGTGAGATAGCTCTCTCTCCATGCACTAAATCAAGGGAAAGCTATTTATACGGATAGAAGACTTAGGTGGTGTGCGTGAATATCATATTTTATTCGCGTGGCTTCGGCCGGGGCCTAGGCCGTAGGGCACTACGTCATGAGTGTCTCCCACTAAATGCAGACCAAAGAGTCTTGACAGAGTGGAGCTTGGTTACTTCTTGCCTCCCTTCTTGCCGCCCTTCTTACCGCCCTTCTCCTCCTTGGGAGCTGCAAGGAACAGCAGCACGCACAACCAGTTAGTCCCCCACAAATTAGGGCACGACGATGCAGTTGTCAAGCACACGGTAGCAACTCACCGTCCTTAGCGGCGGTCTTCTCCTCCTTGTTGTCCTTGCCCTTGCCCTTGCCCATGGCTGATGAAGTACTTGGTGTGGGTGCTTGAGGAGAGGAGCTTGAGCTGCGAGCTCAAAATTCGGGAATGAGCCTGCCTGGCGAGCGCTGCGCCGTCGGCTGAACGGGGCGGTTGCATATCCTTGTTGGGGGGACGTCCGTTATCAGGCGCCTAGCCTAGGAATTGTAACGGTTCTTACGCTGGGCAGGCTTTCACTTGACGTCTGTATGCCGTCCTGAACTTGCCTAGTTCAGGATGGATCTTGAAGCGTCGCGGTTGAAGTTGACCCATTCGGGGACTGAAAAGTGACCAGTCGGTGGTAACATCGGTGGCGCTAGTCCATCGCGGTCCGCGGCAACTGCTGGTGCTCCTCATTCGAAGCTCGCGACATCAGCCTGCGCCAGGCTCTCTTGTTGCTCTGGAACACGCCTTCTCGGCAATGCATGGAGTGCACGAGCAAGATCACCATGCTGCCACTGGTACAGACGCTGGAGATGAATGCTGGCGCCCTTGGTGCGCCTGTGAAAAAGTAGAGTATAGCTCGCTTGGCTTGACTTATTCCGCTTCGTTTGCTTTACGACATACACGTTGCTACGCGGTCACTACAGTGCCAGGCTGTTGAGAGCGTCGGCCAAAGCCTGCACGGCCTGCTGGCTGCTCGCGTCCAGCCGAACTCCTGCTGCGCGCTTGGGCATCCCGCTCATGAACTCGGCGACGTACGCGCGCGTGCTGTCAAAATACCGGCAAACCCACGTAGTTATCTGCAGCTGGCTTGTGGACGTCTCTCTCGGCTTGGCCTGCTTCAGCGACTGCGCTTTCTCGTGGCTGTACGCCATGCACTTGCGGACAAGTGCCGCTCCTGATCGAGGCTTCTTACGGCGGCGGCTCCCACTTCTACCAGTGCCAGCTTCCTCCGCCTTGGCGGAGTCCGCTTCGGCGAGGACACCTTCCGGGCGAGATTCATCATACTCGAGCACGGGAACGACCAGGTTGACAAAGTCCAACATCAGCTCGACCTGCGCTGCCTCTATCCGTTCAACGACAGCACCACTCTCAGCATTGTTGCCCTCGACTTCCGCACCCAGGGCTTCAATTTCACGCGCCACCTCTTCGACAGTCGAGCTGAAGCGAGCCTGCACCTCGTTGTAGAACGTGTCGTCCCCACCGTAGAGTACGTCGTTCGAGTCCACTCCGACCAGTCGACCAGGGAGAGCCCGTTGTCCCCATAGACCAAACAGTTGGACGAGCATGAGTAGCACGCGCAGTCGAGCAACTCCAGCTTCAAGACGGTGCGCTACGGACGACGAACTCGGTGTCACCCACGCCAACCGCTCCAGCACAGCCTTGCGCAAAGCAGACACGAAGTAGAACGGGTCTTCGTCGTTTAGCGACGGAGCGTACACCAACACGCTCATCAACTGGGCGATCGCTTGCACGATATGGTCGATGACAGTGTTGGTGTTGTTGATACTCACTGCCCCGAACAGTCCAAGTGCCACACCGCGCATCGGGGTAAGCGATGCGATGGCATCTGAGCCCTCGTCGAAGCGGCGGACAGATTCGATAGCACTTGGCTCAAGCTCTGCGAGCAACACGATCGCAGCTTTTACCAGCGCGTCCATCTGCGGGATGCAGCTCGTCACTAGGGCGACATTCGCTGCTGACACCAAGAGCTGAAGCTTTTCGAGAGGCGCCTCAATTGACGGGATCGTGATGTGCGCGAACGCCAGACAAGACTGAATGAAGTTTCGCCGTGCCTGTGTACGCTTCTTTCCGCCGACGACAGACGCAACCCCACCACCAGTACCACCAGTACGCTTGTGGACGTGCATTGCCAACCGGAGAACCATCGTGGACAGCAATTCCTTGACCGGCTCCAGCTTGTAAAATGAGCGACGGCAATCGGTGTACAGCATCAGCAGCGCCTCCTGCTCCTCGTCTTGGGCTCTTTCACTTGCGTTAGCAGTCTCGTTGACGTATCCAAGCCGCGCGATGAATGCCGAGATATCGCGATTCGCCTCCGCACGCTCGGACGCGGTACTGAGAGAGTCGAGGGCGTCGTGCACTCGACAACAAACAACCAAAAGTGTGTGTGCTACGGCAGCTTCGGGCCCCACCACATGGAGCCGTAATGTGCCAGACCGATTCGAGGACTTCTTCATGCTTCCGCCCACGAAGGCTCGCAAGACTTTCTTTGCCACGTCCACACTCGACTCCCGCTTGAACATGCCCATTAGCGCCTGCATACAAGCAATAATTTAGTGTAGTCAGCCTTTTGAACATTTATAACACGCTGAGCTCACTGGCACCTACGAGGAACGGCGTAGAAGGGATAAGCTTCGAGAAAAACTCGTAGTGCTGCTTGGCACCGAAGACAACATTCTCAATGAGAGCACCGAGCAAGTTGTACGTTTTTGCCGTGAGTTCTTCTGGTGTCGCGGCGTTCAGGTGGCGCACGACATCCTTAAGCAGAATAAGAGCCTCTCGGTGCTAACACACAACAAGCATTTAGCGTTAATAGTCACATCGATGTTAACAATGATGTCGCGTTCCATACACACACCAATTCGTAACGTACCGAGAAATGAGCCACTATAAGCTTCATGTAGGCGGCAGCACACTCCATGTACTGCGTTATGTTCTCTTGGGAAGTGATGGACGACCAGGAATCGTTCAGAAACTGCAGTTTCCCACCTCGTTCATTATCCGCAATGACAAGCACATTGCTCAGCTGCACCGCAACGAGACTGTAAAGATGGCACTTCGAGACCAACGACGGAGAGGATGTGCGAATGAGATCCAGCATCTCGGTCGGCGTTGAGGCGTAAAACTGGGCGCCAAAACACTCGCAGAGGTGCTTCAACACCATGGAGCTGTCCGAATACTCTTGATAGTGCGCCAATAACGAGTCGAAGCTGTCCTGAGTGGCCCCCGGAGCTGCGCATTTAACGAGCCATTCCACGGCAGGCGAGTGTAGCGCCAGATACTCGTCGTGCTCCATTTTGTGCGTCAGCAGCCAATGCTCTAGCTTGTTTCGGCGGAACCAGTTGAAAGCGTAAAAGTAGTCGAACAAGCTGCTGCTTACGACGACGGTTTGCTCGGATGGTGAGGTAGTTCCCAACAACTCGGAGCTGGTGAGTGCCAGATACAGACGCGCGTACAAGGCAACCATCGGCTCTCCGACACCCCTAATATCGTAGGAGCAAAACAAGATGCAGTTTAGAGACCCGTATTGACAGCATAGCATTCCTACACACAATAGCATACTTGATCATATTTGACAGTCGCGCTACAATCTGCGGGTACTCGCCATCGCAAAAAAATCGGTAGCACCCGAGCAGCGCGATCTCAATATATCTGAGCACGACGACGATAGGCACCGGGGTTAGTAAAAAAAAGAATAGGCAGCTAGAAGCATACACCATGCGCAAACTACTTACATTCGTGGGAGCAGCTCTCGGATGCAAGCCGTCTTGTAGAACCAATTGCGGCACGTCTCGGTGGCTTGGACGTTGATGTCTGAGCTCATGAAATGTTCGCCCAGTGGCTCCGGTAGAGGCTGACCGTTTTCATCCTCGGAGGCGCGTGCGTGGATGCGACCGAACACGAGCTTGCCAAAGGCGTCCAGCACTTCACTCACCAACACAAACACGCACGGATAGAGCTGCGGTGCAGTGTCCGTATCTGCGAGCAGCTTCACACACTTGATAGCAATTCGCAGCGCTTCCACCTTGTGGTTCTGCTCCCAGCTTGCAATGAGCCGCTTCTGCATCTCCTTCACCTTGGCCACGTACTGGCTCTGCGAGATCTCGATAGTCTTCTCGTCCTGCTCGAAATTCGGTCCATTGTTCTCCGACCCACGCTCCAGCTGCTCCAATCTCGCGCGCGTCTTCTTGATCACGGACGCCTCTGCCGGGTCGTCCGCCTTCTGGTAGTCGCTCTTCGGAGCGAACGAGATCTCGTTCTCCAGGTCGTTCACCTCCAGCATGCTCGCCTTGATCTTGAACGTGTGGTCCGCGTACTTGGCCAGCAGGCGGTCCGTGTGCTCCTTCCACTTGTGCTTCACTGTACGGGGCGCGGCTTCTCCTCTTGCCTCCCCATTGTTTGCAACAATTGCAGCATCAACCGACGCGGCTTTCGAGCGTACGACCTCCGTCTGCGCCACTTTTGCGTCTGCTGGCGCTCCGAGGACACCCAGCGGGTCCACGTCTCCGTCCTGCAGCACCACGAGCTCCGGCGACGCTCCACCGCTGCTGCTTCGCTTGGTTAACGAGTCTCCATGCGCTGAAGACGCAGAACTTGGCGGCGGATCCACTGCAACTGCCGCATCGACCGAGGGAGCGGACAAAGCCGTCGCCAGAGCCAGCGGGTGCGTCTCCTTCGCCGCCAGCGCGCGCGGAGCCAGGTCGTGTCGCGAGCGAGGCGTCTGGCGCTCCCCCACGCGCCACTTGGCCGCCGGAGTCGGCACCGGAGGCTCGCGCTCCGCCGGCGCCGTCGTCATCCTCGATCCCCGCTGTTTGAAGCTGAAAGAACGACAAGGATCCATTCGTACTTAATCGAGATAACGACGCTGTGATTGGATGTTAAGTGACTATGTTTTTGGCCAATGGACGCGCTTTGGATTAACGCTGGAGTGCGCGCCAAGCATCTGGAGGTTGAGCGGAAGGGCGACCGAGCTCCAAGCGCCTGTGCGTGACCGTCTAGAAGCCGCCCCCCGCGCCGCACACAGGTAATAGCCGTACCCCCGCTGCTGTATGTCAATGAAGGAGACGCAGACGTGCCTGGAGTGTTCTTTGTGGTGCTCTGAAGCGCTCTAGAAGCTGCGGAATCCGTCGCCGAAGTTGTGTCATTTAGTACTCACTCACTCTGTCTGCTGCAATCTTTCAGGGACACTTTACACTTCACACGGCAATCAACATGTTCGGAGCAACTGCAGGAGCGACGCAACCGGCAGCCGCCGGCTTCAGCTTCGGCGGGGGAGCGGCCGCGGCGCCTGCTGCCTCAGGCGGCTTCAGTTTCGGCGCCACGTCGGCCGCTCCAGCGGCGGCGCCAGCTTCTGGCGGCTTCAGTTTTGGCGGCGCTGCTACCTCTGCAGCCCCTGCGGCGGGATCCACGGGTTTCAGCTTTGGAGCTGCTCCGGCGACCAGCACAGCGGCGGCCCCTGCGGCTTCGACGGGGTTTTCCTTCGGTGCGGCGCCCGCTGCGGCCCCTGTCGCTGGTAGCACGGGATTCAGCTTTGGAGGCACCAGCACAGCTCCTGCTGCTAGCAGCGGCTTCAGCTTCGGTGGAACTGCTGCTGCCGCCCCCGCTGCGTCGAGTGGCTTCAGCTTTGGTGGAACGAGCGCGGCGCCGGCTGCTGGAAGCACGGGCTTTAGTTTTGGCGGCACTACACCGGCTGCCAGCACGACGTCGGCTTTCGGATTTGGAAGTACTACAGCAGCGCTCTTCGGTCAGACTCCAGCGGCGACTAGCGCGACGACTACTGGATTCGGCTTTGGAGCTAAACCTGCGACCACCGGTACGGGCTTTGGATTCGGCACAACGACGGGCACTGGAACCAGTGCGTTTGGCGCAGCGCCCGCAACAGGATCTTCTCTCTTCGGTGGTGGTGGCTTTGGCACCACCGCACCGGGCGCAGCACCTTCAGCATTTGGCGCCGCTCCGGCAGCGTCTACTGCCCCCGCCCCGATTATTCTAGGTGCAGATGCCTCGGTGGCGCAGCTCAACACAGTGAAGGCGGCGTACCAGGACCCAGCTCAGTCACGCTTCAAATTCCTCATGTACAACACCGTCGATCCGACGCAGCGACACCTTTACGTGCGACCACCTCACATTAGCGAGCGCCTGTGGAACCAGGCGGAGCTGGACAACCCGGACCCGCTCAACTGCGCGCCCGTTCCTATCTTGGGCTTCGACGATCTGCTGAAGCGTATCAAGGCGCAGCAGGAGCATGCGGAGAAGTACAACAAGTACACGGACGACCTGCGCGCGCAGCTCAACGAGATGGACAAGCACTCGCGCGCTACAGAGGAGAAGCTTGAGAAATGCCGCCACGAGCACGTCCAGCTCTTCCACGCGCTGGTGAAGGTCATGCGGGACATCGAGCTGCTGCAGAACTACGGCAAGCCGCTTCAGCGCGAAGAGATGCAGCTTGCGTACGTCTCTAGCTACTGGCTCGGCGTGTGTGATGGATGACACTAACTGATGTGCGTCTGTTTGAACTGCAGCATGGCGTTGAAGAAGCTGCAGACGTTGCTGGACTCGCCAGGCCAGTACAAGGCGCGACTAAATGACGCCGTCTCGCTTCAGCGCGTGCAGAAGGAGGCGCAGCCGCTGCCGTCAAGTCAGCTCAGCCCACAGGACCTGCAGCGACTCTTTGAGGTGCGCAGGCTTTGAATTGCCTTGCTACATGATGTGGTCATCTGATCTGAGTCAATTTGTTGCGTGTTGTGTGAATTGAGCAGTTCATGGATAAGCAGCGGCAGGGGCTGGAGCACCTGACGAACATCATTAACGACGACCTGGCAGACATGCAGCTCATCAAAGAAACCTGGCGGCGGTAGGCACTTGGCGCATTGCTCGGCCATTCTTCAGCAGGTTAAAGCAACAGCACACACTACCTGATAAACCCGCGTGCAGCGGTGGTAAGCAAGTGCAACAGGCAAGTGCAACAACGAATGAAGACAAGTATTTCCCGTGTCGTTTCCCCTTGCACTGTCAACAGTCCTTCAAAACTGGCAAAGTAACAATTACCCTATGAAGAAGATGACAACAACGCAGTGAAGACAGCAGCCTGGCATGCATATTCGCAAAAAGTTACCAAATTGTGTTCTTTGTTTTTTTTCTGAATTTGAAGCAAGCCAGCCGCCTGAAGCGCGTCCAGTTAAGTGGCCGGCATGCGCCCCTATTCTCTCCACCCTTCATACTTATGCATGCCAAACAAAGAAGTCGCAGCGGGCTGCGGTGGCGCCGGGAGCACCTAGGAACGACGCCTCAGGACCTGGATCTGCTGCTGATTTAGTGGTACGGGTCCACGTCGCCGTAGGTCTCGATGACAAGCGGGGCCTCGTCGAACTGGTGAACGGGAGGGGGCGACGACAGGCACCACTCGAGCGTCTGGTGCACATCCGGGATCACGACCTGCACGTCCTCCGTGGGCGCGTTGTTAATGGGCACACCGTGCACCTTGCCGTCCGTGGAGAACCGGGCGACAGCGGGGCGGATGGCGGCGGTGGTGTTCACTGCAAAGGAGGGGGAGGACGCAAGTCAGCACACTAAAGTTGCAAGATCTCGGCGCCTACCGGTCCGTTGGACGCGGGAGCTGCGAGCATAGAGAGAGGAGACGGAGGGGGGACACATACCGGCCTTCAGGGCGCGCATGGACTGACGGATGAGGCTCATGGTGGCGAGTAAGGGGCTTCCGGAGGGGTTTCTTGATCCGAAGGAGCTCTTTGAGGACTGCTCTCGTCTGGCGGTGGTGGCAACGAGACCCCCGACACAAAGACATGAGGGTTTGTGCGGAGGAGGGGCCGTCCCTCATTGCGCAACGCCGCGAGCGCCTATGGCGATTTGTATGTGTCTGGTGGTCTGTCCACCCCCTCATCGCGCAACTCGCTGCTCGTCCGGGGACAGCAGCACCACGGTTCGGTGGCGCCAAGAGCTCTGCCACCGAAACAGGACTGCAGTAGTCTCGAGTGTTGGGCAGGCCAACAATGCGGTTCATGCTGGCAAGTTGCAGACTGCCACGGGCCCATCGAGGCGTGTGCGCCCGACTGCCGGCAAATTTGAAAGTGAGAGAGCGCCGCCACCTGCGCTTCCACGCATTCGGAAAGCCGCTGGCGCCCGTGGCATTGCCGCAGGATCTGCATCCGTATTGTTGATGTGGCCGTGCTGGCCGTGCTTGCCTTCGCGTGGACGACTGACTGGACTGGACATGCCAGTCCGCATCTTGCCCGGCGCCTCCACGACCGCATTTAGGCCCGTAGATGGGAATCTCCGCTGTTGTAAGATTTGTGCGTAGAAACGCCTTTCGGTGATGGCCTCGTCACTTCATCACTTCAACATTCGTCAAGTGTGGCTACACGAGCCGACTTGGTGGTTGCAAGCTCGACGGGGAAAGGTGTCGTTAGCAAGAACTATGTGGGAGTGTTTCTTGGAGTGCTTGTGGGGGGATCTACAGTAACAGCAAGCTTCGTTTCGAGATTTATTTTGTTTGCTACGACAGTAATCAGCATGGTTGCAGGGCGGCTACAGCGTGCAGGCTCGGCGTGACATCGTTCAACTTCACAGCGGACACAATGTAAACCAAGCAAGCTTTGTGCAGCTTTAACGATGACACCTGGCCTCTTGACCTCTTCAGAAAGTTGTCACGCAAGCAGGATCGCTTGCATCTAGAGCTCCGAACTTCAAAGTCCGACGTTGATGTAGTATGGTATGCTGAAGGTTTGGCAAAGGGGACCTAGCTGTCGTAAAGTGTTGGTAGCGTGTGAAGGTTGAGACCTACTTCCTGCGATTGCCAACCCTCGTTGAACCAACTTCAGCGTTTTGCGAACTTCTGTCGACCCAAAATACTGTTCGCTAAATTGGGCTCCCCAAAAGCTACTCTCGTGCGATTGGCTATAAATAAAGCCAGTTCAATGATTTAAAATCGTTCAATCAGAACTGGCCACCAATGCTGAGATTGGGCCAATCCGGAGCCGTTTCTCTGCTTCAAGAGGCCACGACTCAAAAGATGGTGCTTTTGAAAGTCAAAATTTGGCAGTTTTACTCGCTTGGCGTGCGGAACTACTGTAGCTTAGCTTTGTCGTCACCCGAACCAATGTGCGCACCAAGTCTTCCAGTTGCTGGTCAATTTCTATGCGCTCGTTTCTGCCTGCTACAGTATGAGTCTTGGTGAAAGCCACTTGGCCGCATAGCACATTTTTGGGATGATTCTGTCACTGTCACGCTTGAGGCAATGAAACCTGGAATTTCAACAGAAAGGTTCCGAGCCTTCATGTCCCGCTGGCGTATCAATGAACTTGGTATCATATTTCACGGAAGTTCCGCCGGACTTTCGTTATACCTTTAGGTATTACTTAAGTAATACTTGGTAGCTACTATCGGTATAATCCCATGCGCAATTTATATGGTTTTTTCAATTGAAACGAAGGTTTGCTCGAGCGGGACGGCTATCAAGTAGACTAAAACCTATTATCAAACCTGCATTCTTGCAGGACTTCGTCGCGGTGAATTGTGTTGGCTCACTACTTATCTTGCTTTTAGCAGCTTATTTTGGTCTTGATAAGTACCAACCTCTGTCAATCCCAAATTTGTTGATGAAAAACCTCGATGCAAGGTTTTTCCGCATTTTGCGCGAATGGGCGGCAGCTCGGCGCGCTTCTCCACTCATTATTGGATTGAAATCCGCACGGCGCCCTACGAGAGGAAGAAATCCCCCCGCTTCACTTCGAGCAGCTACACCGGAATGACGCCGCCTTCTGACGATGGCAAGCCGGCGGCGGACGCGACGCCCAAGAGCGGTGGCGACCTGGCGCAGCAGCAGCAGCAGGCGCTGCTCACCCAGCAGCTCCAGCAGCAGCAGCTCCAGCTCCTCCAACTGCAGCAGCAGCAGCTCCAGAGCATGCAGAACCTCAACCCGACCGAGCTCGCGACCCTGCAGCAGCAGCAGCTCGCGCTACTCATGATGCCCATGTTCCCGCTGATGCTGCCGCTGCAGCAGCAGGCGCTGGCCGCGGCCTCCACGGGCGCCACCGCCGGCTCGGACTCGTCCGCCACGGCGTCGGAGGATGCAGCTGCCGAGGCCGCCGCCGCTGCCGCCGCCACGTCGGAGGAAGCTGCCGCGGAGGCCGCCGAGTCTGCAGCCGCGGAGGCCGCCGGAGATGAAGCCGCGTCGCCCACGTACCAGGCCGCAACTGCCGAGTCGCTGGGACTCACGCCGCCGTTTGTAGGCACGGACGGATTCGGAATGCTGGCAGGGACGCCCACCGGCGCGCTCAACATGGACGACGTGCCCAAGCGCAAGCGCGGCCGCCCGCCCAAGAAGGACGTGGCGGCGCGAGCCAAGGCAGAGGCGGAGAAGACGCTCAAGCAGCAGTTCCCCATGTGGGGTTACGGCCTCCCCATGCCGCTGCTGCCGGGCTTCCCGGGTATGCTGCCGGGCATGGGTAATCCGGGCGCGGTCGTCAAGGACCACTCTGTTGATGAGCACGTGAAGGACGAGGATGTAGATGGCGAGCGCCCCGCCAAGATGGCCAAGAAGAAGCAGCGCGGAACGGGCAAGCCTCGGGGGCGACCTCGCACGCGCCCGCGCCCTGGTGAGATCATCCGCCGGGTAAAGCCGCTCCCTATTGCGCCGGCCAACTATTCGGTCATGTACAACTATTCCCTCTCGAACCTGGCGCAGAAGAGTGCCGAGCTCAATGCAGACGGAACTGCGGCTGATACGGAAGCCACGACCGTCACGGAGGACGCACAGGATGAGAACCGACTGGCGCCGCTGAGCGCCTCGCTGCTGTCTGGAGAGCACGAGTAAGATCCTCCAGCCTCTATCAAGTTCATCTATCTGATAATTCGCAGCGTCGGCCACCGTGCGTTCGAGTACCGGTAGCAAGCGCTTTTAACATTGCGTTCGTGTTCACCGTCGCGTTCTCGTTTGCGTTAATTAACTTCATGCATCGCGATGCAAGTGTGCAACAGGAAGTGTCGTGTAGTATATTTTCTTTTGTTTTTCAAATAATGGAACGATGTCTATGTGGTGCGGCTGGTGCGCAGGCAGCGAGAGAGCAAGCACGCTTTGCGATGGGGTGGGCAAATAAATAAAGAAGCTCGAGGCACTCCATTCCCCAGCCGTCTGCGCGTGCGGCATGCGTCTTCGACTGAGCCAGCGCAACTGGGAGATACTGAGCTCTAGAAAAAGACCTCCTCGTCGCCGTCGTTGCTCACGGCGTCGCTGTCGTAGTAGTCGAAGGTGTAGTCGTTCATGTCGTCGCCCAGGTCCTCCTCCGCGTCGTCCATATCGCCGTCATCCGCCTCCTGTTCTGCTGCCTTGGCCTTGTCCGCGGCGATTTTCTTCTCCTGAGCTTCAAGCGACTTGAACACGTTCTCGAACGCACGCGGCTGCATGATGCCGCGGTTGGCGGCGCCGCCGGCCGCCGGCGTGCGCAGTCCACTGAGCGAATTGGCGCGCAGCTCCTCCGGCACGTAGACCTCATTGGCCTTCTGCATATCGGGCACCGTCACGTGCACGAAGGCTGCTGGGTCGGTGGCGTTGCGGCCGGCGTCGGGGCCTGCAGGGTCGGCTTCCCACGGGTGGTACAGGCTCTCGAGCTTGTGCGCGAGGATGCGCTGCCTCTGGATCAAGTAGGCCTCTTTGTCGGCCAGCGCCTCAGGCTGCGGCAGCTCCATGGGCGGATACAGAGCCCCGCCAGTCTCCGCCTATCGATTGCAGCAGCAACAGCAAGCAAGCAAGTTAGTGGGCATTGACGTTGAGGTTGACGCTATGATGCTGAGGAGGCAGAGAGACGTACGTGCAGCAGCTCCATCTGCGTGTGCGAGAGGCCCAGGTCCTCGCGCGTCTCGTCCATGATGTCCGCCAGCATCGAGTCCCGGCTGCCGCCGAAGCGCACGCGGCCGCGGCCCCGTCCTCGGCTCATCGCAGCAGGTCAAGTGGCAATTGCAGTGCTGTCCGCCACCAAGGATTCGAGCGTATGCCTCAGCGTGGGATTAGCCTATGATATGGAATTCCCTCTGAATACATGATATCGATTTTCACAAGTTACAGCTTTCGACCAATCGGAGGAGCGAACGGGGTAAACTTCAACTTAACGTGGAATGTTGCTGCGCCGACGGAGCGAGAGAGATGGTGCTCGCCAGCAGTCATCTGCGCGGTTATCCTTGACGGTGGCGCTGGGGGGAGCGCGTTCCATGTATTGTCGTGGAGATCCTCCCCCGAGGCGTGGGTGAAGGCTGGGTGACTGTGACTGGGGCGGTCTCGCGCTCCTCGCATCATCTTCGCAGGGAAGGCGTCCACCAGGACGCCAGGTGCGACCTGGTGGACACAGCTGCATCGGCTCACGCGAGCGTTTGCCACTTGATTGACCGATGCATCTCCGCGACGCCATTATGGTGAACAGCGACGAACAGACCCTTTCTAAAGGAACGAAGCGGCGAGCTAGTGCATCCACTCAAAAACGCTCGGTGGCTACCGCCCTGCCAACTCGGCAGTGCTGAGAAGGGATCCATCAACGTTGCAGCGCACCTCGCCCACGCTGTCGCCAGGGCTGGTCCCGTGGGCGCACTTGAACGACACTAGATGGTCGAAGGACCCCATCGCTCACTACGTTGTGCTCCATTCCAAGGCGTCTCGGATCTCACGTGGAGCAAAACAGAACCGGTTCGCAATCAAGACGCGTCTTGGAGGAACCTGCAACCGGTGGCTGTCAACCGCTCTACAGACGCTTGTAGGCGCTTAGTGGGGCCTCTGTAATCCGGAAACGTGTGATGGCTGAGAGCTCTACAGTTGCATCCGCGGTGCTGAGCGATGCCCACCGACAGCAGCGCAGCCGATGTAAGCAAAGCGAGTCAAAGCGAGCCGAGGGGCCGCTCGCACATGATCTAGACGGTCTCTGTTTCGCACTTGTTGGACATTGCTCCCCTTGCCCCACCCAGCGTTTGGCTCGGGCTCAACTCACCTTGTGTGCCTTCGCCTGCCTGCCTCACTTTCCAATTTGCCAGCTCCAGCCCACATCAACTATCAACTGCTGCCTCCAGTCTCCACCCTCTTCATACGATGCGAGCAATGGTGGACAGGGACTCCGTGCAGCAGTTCGTGGACGCTGTAGCGAACACCGAGCTGTGTCCGCTGTCCTCGGAGCCCCACAACGGCCACATGCACAGCTACGGCGGCATCCTCCCCGGCTCAGGCGAACCAGCACTGCTCGAACTTCCTCGGGGCGTGCAGTGGCTGAACGACACGTCCTCAGGCGAGACCGAGACTTGTCCGTCTCGGCTGTACGTCCGTCCAGCATATCAAGTACTGCTACTACTGGCCATGGCCTTCGTCGATCATTCGGAGGTGCCTCACCATCGCGTCGTTATCACCGGTTCGTCAGGCACCGGCAAGACGAGCTTCCTCGGCTGGATGCTGTGGCACTTGCGGCGTCTCGATAAACCTCCAGTGATCGTGCTCGACATGGCTGGGTTCTTCAGCCGCATCGCATCAGACGGCACCGTCACCGCTGGCACCAGAGGTTCGAGCTTCCAACAGGAGCTCGCCACTCGCAGCACAGTGTACCTGTGCGACTCCACATGGACGGAAAACATCGAGTACAATGGTCCTGAGGTCCGAGCTCGCACCATCGCGGTGTCACCGCCACTGCACACGCTGATGTCGACGTCGACGACCGATACAATGCGCACGCTGGTGCTGGTGATGCCGCTGTGGACTATGGCCGAGCTCGAGACCTGCCGATCTACCTGCTACGCGCGTAGCGTTTCCCAAGAAACACTACTCGAGCTCTACCAGCTTTGGGGTGGCGTCGTACGCTGGACGCTGGGGACACCAAAGCAAGAGGCTAGAGACGAGTTCGTGCGCAGCTTGGAGGCGCTACCGTTCGCCTCCGTGATTCAGATCGTCCGCAATGGCGGATACGTGCGTATGTGCGAGTTCAGCGACGTGGAGATTTCCGTCGGTGCCCGACTCATTCACATCCACGCCGACTGTGACAGCACCTTCCAGCTGAACGGGGCTGCAGTGTGCAGCTCCCTAGCGTGCTCGCTGCTCATTCGCACCAGCTCCGAGCAGCTCGGGAATGCGAACGAGCTTGTCAGTCCTCCCAGTGGCGAACTCCCGGTCATACCCAGGAACATGGAGATCTTCTACCAACAGGTGCAGCAGGAGCTCTTTGACAGAGAACTCGTCACGCCGTGATGAACGACCAGTGACATCTCTCAAGACCCAACGTGTCAATGAAAGCGTACGACAGCAGCCTGCAGCTACACAATTAACGGTTGACTTGTAAGCATTGAATGGAATTGGTGACTTTATTTCTGCTATCAACGTGCTCCGCTCTTCATACCCTCAATTTCCTGCGCACACTTCTAGTCCGGCGGCAACTTCAGTGGGTGCAGCCTTCTCAGCCGCCACTGTTGCCACCACAGGCACTGGGAATGGCGTATCTGGCTCCGACGCTGTGAACGTGTTGTTCATAACTCGTCCTGGGTGCGAGCCGCCCATATAGGACGGAAGTGATGACAGCGGGATGCCGTGATTCTGTGCCACCTCCAGGAACGCCTTCATGTCTTTCTGTATTGCCATCCACACAGCAGCATTCCCCCGGTCAGCCAACAAGTTGCAACCCAAAGCAAAACGAGTAAAGTCACGTACAAACACTTGGATCTTCTCGCGCGTCTCCGGCTGGATGATGGCCGAGATGACCTTCCAGGCGCTGTAGAAGATGAAAGGCGCGTTCACGATGTACAGGCAGTGCAGCGTCTCGGGATAGTAGAGCTGCCCCACGTCGAAGATGGGCTGGGTATACACAAACCACCGTGAGCCCGACCATGTAATCTTACAATACAGGTATTGGGGGACGCACCTTGAGATGACTCAGCACTGACGGTGACAGCAGCTTCAGGCTGAGGCCCTTGAGGTCGACAATGCACACGTGCTTGTAGACGCGGTGGCCTCGCCGCTTGGAGACGGCCACCTTCTCCCACTGGATGCGCTCCATGTACTGCCACCGGTGCGGGATGATGTCGTTGACATTCGTGAACGTCTTGAACAAGCCGTCCGGGTTGATGTCGCTGATGCGGTCCACCGTCACGAGGTGCCCCTCCTTGTCCTCGCCGTAGATGTAGGTCGGCCAGTACTCGTTGTAGAGCTTGGACTGCGGCAGGTCTCGCTTCAGGACGTTGTCGACATCGAACGCCGCGCGCGCGTCCAAAATCTTCTTCGTCTCGGCAATCGTGAACTGCTCGCGGTTCTTCTTCATGCCGCGATACGCGCGAGCCACGCGGATGGCGAGGTCATCGGTGCAGCGATCGCCGAACTCGGCCTTCACCGCGTCGAAGAGCGGTTGATCCTCCGCCGTAAGGGGCTGAGCTTCTTCGTGTTCGTGGTGCGACGACATGTCTGATACTTCTTCGACTTGCGCTGCTGCCGACGACCGCACCAGGGCTCCAATCTACGAATGCAAGAATGGCTAACAGCAGAAAAAAACTGCTCGTGGTGTCGTGCGGCAAAGCCTCGACGCTGCCTCAGCGTTCTGAGCGCCTTTTAGACGCCGCTGAAAGAGTCAGAAATCGGTTGCACCCCAGCACCACGTCTGCATTTAGGCGAGGCAAAACTGAAATAGACGCCAAGAAATGCTGGTCATGCTCAAGCTCCTCTTCTTGTCTATCATTATCTTGAGAACCAAGCCTGCATGGGACTGCACAACGCTGCAACGAACCAGCCGACTGCAGGTTGTGCCTTTGCGTACAATCGTGCATGCTTCTCCTTCTCCATGTGCCGCGAAAACTGCGTGGCTCACGGTCGTCCTCGCGATGGCTAAAACAGCACGGACGACGCTTACACGCGAGTGACCTCCCAGTCCTCCACCGTGCGCTCCAGCACGTCCTCGGGCGCCGTGTCGAAAGGTCCCGTCTCTGATAAGGCAGCAGCAACATCAACATGTCAGCAACGAGCAGCAATACACCGTTGCAGCGAGCAAGCAGCAGCAGCAACAACAGCAGCTACGGACCTGTTCGTCGCGGGTTGTGGCGCTCCTTGAGGATGGCCGGCTTGGGGATAATGGTGCCCGTCTTCTTGGACACGCGCACCTTCTCGCCCTCGTCCGTGTAGCGGATGGCGATCCGCGTGGGCTTGCCGATGGACGGGTCCACCAGGTTCACGTTGCTGTAGTGGATGGGCGACGGCGACAGGTACGAGCGGCCGGAGGCGGCAGGCGTCGCCTTCACGTAGCGGTGCGACTGTTGACAAAAATCCAAGACGTCAGCCTCGATAGCTGCTCTGAAGGCTATCTAGTTAGCGGGGCCACCCACCATGTTGACATTCTCCACGATGACCTTGTTCAGGTCGCGGGCGACGCTCACGACCTCGCCCTGCGTGCCCTTGTGCGGTCCGGCGATGATCTCGACCTGTCAATTGCCAGCAAATATCATTCCGCATCAGTGTCAGCTCGATATCTCGACGACTACTGCGAGTTTGGCGACGATCGAAGCGTACCTTATCACCGCGGAAGATGTGCCAGGTCTTGATGAGGTCGATGGATTTCTTCTTGGTGCGCGGGCCGCGGCGGAAGGCAATCGGGATGCGCGTCGCCATCTTCAGCTGCAGGGGGCTCTGCTGTCCACAAGTACTCCTTCCAGGCAAGTGTGAGGGCTCCAGCAGCTCCGCTCGGCGATTGGCTGAAACTAAAATCCCAGTAGTAACGCCAGCTGATTCGCTTAAATAAAACCTAAATGACTGATTAAATTTCGTCCAATCAGACGAGCGTATTTTTGCCAGCCACCAGAAAACTCGAGGGAAGCCGTCAGGAAGAAAGACCCGAGCCACCTGCACCAGCCAAGCCCGAGGGGGAGCACAAGATCAGAGACACGATGGCCGACGTCGCAGAGAAGCAGGAGCTGCCGCCCGCGGGCGACGCCGCCGTGGCCCCGCCCGCCGTGCCCGAGGATGTGGCCGCCATGTTCGACCTGAAGAAGAAGAAGAAGAAGTCCAAGAAGGTCAAGAAGGAGGTGCGGACAGAGCTGTCTTATTTATCGTAGCTCCTCGCATTTTATTTATTTATTATTATTTCTCATTAAATATTCTAACGTAAAAACTTCAACAACTACCACCTTGACAATCCACAGAAGAAGGAGAAGACGGAGGACGCCGAGGCCGCCGCCGATGCCGCGCCCGACGCCAACTCGGTGCTGGTGCAGGACCCCGCCACGTACTCGTACAAGGACGAGCTGCTGGCGCGCATCATGGCCAAGCTGCACGAGAACAACCCGGAGCTGACGGACCGCAAGCGCCACACGATGAAGCCGCCGCAGCTCATGCGCGTGGGCACCAAGAAGACGCTGTGGGTGAACTTCCAGGAGATCTGCCAGATGATGCACCGCAGCCCCGAGCACGTGCTGCAGTTCACGCTGGCCGAGCTGGGTACGGAGGGATCCATCGACGGCAACCAGCGCCTGGTCATCCGCGGTCGCTACGTGCCCAAGTACATTGAGTCGCTGCTGCGCAAGTACATCACGGAGTACGTCTCGTGCCAGATGTGCCGCTCGCCCAACACGACGCTCACGCGCGACTCGGTGAGCCGCCTGTACTTCGTGCACTGCCAGGACTGCGGTTCCTCGCGGTCCGTGGCTGCCATCCGCTCGGGTTTCCACGCCGCTACTCGTGCCGACAGAAGGGCCGCGCGCAAGTAAGGCGGTCGGTTGGTCGTATGCAGTTGCTGGTGCAGTTGCAGTCGCTTAGGACGCTTTGGCAGGTGAAGATCGGGCTTTGAGCACACGGTGGAGCTGGAGGGGAAAGGTTAGAGCAACAATTGGACACTCCGCAGCTATGGCGCTAGAACCCTCTGTTGGAAGCCTAGAGCTGCTCTCGTTGGCT